TAATAATTAATTAATTTTTTTTATTTGTTTAGTTTATTTTAATTTTTCTTAAATATGGTGCGTTTGACTGGCATTTTATATATATGTATATATATATATAAATATTAAGTCTTGTTTCTAATTTGAATAATACTTTGAAAATGATATTCTAAAATATTTAATTAAATTAAAATAACTTGCATAATGTTTACTATATTTCTTATAAATGTATTTCCTCCGAGCCAGAATTATAGTTCGAGTTATGTTTCATACGGGATTTAAGGAATATTAATATTATATTAGCAGTGGATAAAAAGTACGGGTAAAATACTTTTTTATCCTTGTGAGTGTATTAATGTAAAAAGTAGTGGCAATTGTGTAATAATAATGATAAAGTAAGGATAGTTTTATAGTGATATGATTATTTATGTAAATAAGACTATTGTTTTGGGATGGACAAAAATAGTAAACATGACTACAGTAGTAGCACAGAGGGAGTATAAAATATATTATATATTATGTTTACTATGGGTGTGTTTGTTTGGGGGATTGGATTTTCAATCCACTATTCATCCCATTTTTTTCCCCAAAAAATCAAATCAAACACCTATTTTTTATTTTTTATATTATACTAAAAATCAATTTTACATTCAAAACATTACATCAACACCTATTTATATTACATCGTACAACTATTCGAATTTAAAATTTTTACTATTTAAATCCTAACTCAAAATTCAAACCCCCAGACAAACACATCCGTACATAAATTTTGCTTTGTACTGTATTATATATTATAAAGGTATAAAATGTTATATATTATGTTTACTATGGGCATGTTTGTTTGGGGGTTTGGATTTTGAGTTGGGATTTGAATAGTAAAAATTTTGAATTTGAATAGTTGTATGATGTGATATAAATAGGCGTTGATGTGATGTTTTGAATGTAAAATTGATTTTTAGTATAATATAAAAAATAAAAAATAGGTGTTTGATTTGATATTTTTTGGAAAAAAAAATTGGATGAATAATGTAAATTCAATCCAATCCCCAAACAAACACACCCTATATAAATTAGCTTTGTATTATATTAAAAGTACAGACAAAATAAGTTTACTATTCAAATGCTATCATTGTTCATAAATTAAAATAATGCATAAATGTCTTAAATACTTCTAATGTCCCATATAATTTGAGTTTATTATTGTAAATATGAAAATTTAGATAAAACATAATTAATAATATTTTTAAAAATCCGTGCAAAAAACAAATGCGTCCCGGGGGAGCTTTATGAAACCATTTGAAGCCGCACATATGAATACTTTAACTTAGAATCGATCAAAAATAACAAAAGTTAAAGAATTTATGCCAAAAAAATGAATTGAGCTAAATTCGATGTATCATTAAAACAAAAATTGAGAAATACTCGACTACGAGTTTAATATGTTTACTCTTTAAATAATTTCGAGAATATTTCAATAGCAATAAGAGTATTTCATTCGTGAAGTATTATTTTTATTATTTTTGTAAAATTTTTCAAAATATTTATTTTTTATTTTATTATAAAAAAAAACAATCATTCACTAATATAAAATATTATTACATATACAATTATTATATATATAAAATTAAAATACAAATATAAAAAACTCTTACACACTACCCGATATAATATTACCGAAACAGTAGCAGAGGTTAATCTGCGATCATATAATATATTTACTATTACACGATCGCATCGCCCGACAAAAATCCGGATGATACATATGATTGCGGAATACAAAAGCTAAAAAACAAATTATATATATATATATTTTAATTTAATTTGAAAATAATAAATGCGTGTGGAATTTGAAACCCTACTTTCGATTCTTCTTCTTCTTCTTCCTCTTCTCCCCCTTTTTAAATTCTCTCTCTATCAACTTCACTTTTTGGTGCCCTAATTGTTCTTCGATCGATCTCTTGCTGGTTAATGGATATTGATTTCCTCCGATCTCCCGGGGGGTGTAATCATTGCAGCTATCTTCTCATTCTTCTATCCAATTGCATGGCAGCATCGTCAAATTTCAAGCTCCACTCTCCGTCTCAATCGTCGTCGTCGTCGTTTCTCGAATTTACAGTGACGAAGCCGTACAATTGGGTGCTGGTCTGCGCGCTTTTTTTGCTCTTAATCGCGCTCGCGAATTCCTCGACGAACGATCCGTCGGAAGCGTCTTCAGATTTGGGGGAATCGACGGCTAAATCTCTCAATTCGGATTCTCCGGCGTCGGTGGGCGATTTCCGCCCCGGAGAGGTAGCAGTTTCCGGCGAGTCGCGGCGGAAGGGGAAAGCTCAGTTTGAAGTGAGCGATCATGAAGTTCCTAGCGGTCCAAACCCTATTTCGAACAGGTAATTGATTCGATTGGTTTGATTAATTTGCAGAGATCGGCGGTTATGGTGAAATTGGGGATAAATTGCTTCTTCTACACATATTGTTGCTCTTGATTATCTTCTGCAACACAAATACACACACATATATATGTGTGTGTCTGTATGTATATCTATGAGTGTTTATATATATATATATAGCAGTACTGCATAATTATGATACCATCGAATTTGCAATTAGCATGAGGAGTTCCGCCATTGATGAGATCATAGCTGCTCTGTTTTGCTGGAAGGTTGTAGAATTGTATAGGTAGAGAGACAATAGCCAAACAATATATATATATATATATATAATTGTATGTAATTATTTATGTGTATTGGAATCTTTGATGGTGGTGGTATATGTTCTATATATGGTGTGATTATATCTTTTTTTTGGTAATTGAATTTCTTCTTTGTTGTGTATGCTGAATGTGTTTGATGCCCACTTTAATTTGCTTTCTTGAAATCATATATATATATAATAAATAAATACATCTTTCTTTTGGGGTTTCATTTCAATATAATTTCTTGATCATTATTTCAAGATCAAGATTTAGATCATATTATGGGAAATGCATGAGTAGATAGAGGGACAGACAGATTTTGTTAAAGGGTTGTTTGTGTTCTTGGAGGATATGGATGATTGTAATGGAAATGTGAATTAGGGTTTTGATATGTAGAGTGAGAGAGAGGAGAGAGAGAGGGAAATGGTGGAAGAACTTTTTTGGGGTTTGGAGTATTGCTTTTGTTTTGTTATGTTGTGAAAGAAAGGAGAGGAGAGAAGCATCCAAGGGAAAAAGGGGTACCACCAAAGCTGCATCATTGCTCAATCACACACCCATACACTTTTTCCATTTTTCTTTATTTATTTTGGCTATATTGGTGGTCTGGTCTTCTTTTTTTTTTTTTTTTTTTCATAATAATATATATATATATATATATATTGTCTAGGGTGTGTTTGTTTTGAGTTTTAAAAATTTTGGTTTTTTGTTATTTCATTTATTAGATTGAATCCTAGTTGAATATGATATTTTGTATTGAAAAAAAAAAAAAAATTACTTTTTTTATTTTAGTTTATCTTTTCTTTAAAATAAAAAATAATTAATATTCCCTGCATCCCATCTAATTTGTCCATATTTTTTATTTTCATATATCCCACATAATTTATCTTTTTTTTTTAAACATTGATTATATACTTTAATCATATTTTAAATTTTATAATTTATAATTTTTTAATTTTAATTAAATTATTTAATTATTTTAATCTTAAATTTATAATTATTTTTATTAAATAATAATGATTTTTACTGATACACTTCTTAATTACATTTTTAACTTATGACATTACTCAAATAAATATAAATTTTTTTCTTTCGTCACATCACCTAATATCCTTTTTACTTTTCCTATTTAAATTTTGAAATCAAAATTTTACTTCTTGTATGAACCAAGAAAGTATTATATTAAATTTTTATTTATATTATGTCAAATAGTAATTATTTTAATTTAAAATTTGAGCTATTTTCATGAAAAGTTTGTCTGTTGGCTCTGATTGGTCAATTCAATTCATACATATACACACACAGTGAAGTGCAAATTGTGTCGTTCCTTCTTTGAATAAATAACAGAATGGCCCGACAACCCTTTGCTTGGAACCTTCTGCCAATTTTCAAAAGATTCAGGGACACTCTTTATTAATCTTAAAAAATATATTATGTGATATTTTTTAAACATATTTTTTAAAAATATACATAGATTTGTGATGTGATATGTTTTTTTTTTTAAAAAAAAATTATTATAAATGAATATTGAAAATAAACAAGTGATAACATGAGAAAACACAACCAAATATATATGGGTTTCTCAACCAAATATGAATTTAACGTTAATTGTACAATGTCGTAAAATAATACAAAAATACTTTTACATTTACTTTTTGGCAATATTGTCAAGGCAAGGAGGCTCCGAGGCGATATGACGGTCGTTATATTGTCAAATTGTCACCATAGCGGGCACTGTATCGCCTAGGTGATATGGCGGTATAATGGTGCCATGCTCAAAACCTAAGTGTGATAATTTTATTTTTTAAGTGTAAAAATAATGACATGATTATAGAATAAAAGTATTTTTATAAAAAAATGGATTATTTTTGAAATAATTATTTTATAATTATACATTTCAAATATTTTATGAAATGAATGTATTCTGCTATATATATACATATAGAGAGAGAATAATTAGTTTCAGTGAGAAAAGGCATTCTCTGCAAAGGCTGAAGACCCTCTCTTTAAAGTCACTTGGGTGTGTTTGTCTGTGGATTTACTTTTTTGTGTTCGAATTTTTTTAATAATAAAAATTTATATTTGAATAATTATTTTATATGATATAAATATTAATTTAATATTTTAAATATAAAATTAATTTATAATATAATATAAAAAAAAATAATTATTTAATTTAATATGTATTTTTTTTTATAAAAAATAAAAATCCAAATAGTAAAAATCCTACAAGAAGTCCAAAAAAAAAAGACAACCTAAATATTTACTACATTAATTTAACCAATAAATAACATCAAAAACAAAAATTACAAATACTCCTACAGAACAAAAATGAGAGCAAATTATTTGTTACTATTAATTATGCAATAATCGCAAGTCTCTAAAATCACCAAAATACGTAATATAACACCACCGTGACAAGAATTAGGGTGTGTTTCTTTACCTATAATTCCAAACTTTTTTACTATTTGGTATTTTGCGTCTCCGAAAAATACATTTTTTTTTATCAGTTACTATAAAATATTATTTTAATACCAAACTCAAATCAAAATTTTTCGCAAACTAATCAAAAGAAACACACCCTAACATACCGCAATTCCGCCTGTGTCGAAACCCATCGGAGCCGTCGTAACGTCGTCGCGACACTGTACTCCAGCAACGATGAGTCAACCGGGGAGCAAAAAGGCTTCGCTGGAATTGAGCTCGACGGTTGAACGAAGAAAATTACAGCGAGACGTCAACTTTCACCGAAGAATCAGTCAGGAGTTCGCGTCTCGACTTATCAGCTTTCGGCCGGTCGCGAACGTTGAACTGAAGCCTAACATGAATCGGTCTTACGAACACAAGCTCGCCGAGGTCTCTGCCGGGCATCATCAAAGTCTTGATAAGTACGTCCCTGTCGAATTTTCTCTTCGGATCGATTACATCAGCAATCCTCGACGCTTTTTCGCATTGAGTATCGATTTTGTTCGAATTCTTCTTCAGCCTCAAGTAAAGCGCGGCGTAAATAACAGCCTGAAAGAATCGAATCAAATCGATTGTTATACGAGTAGTCGTAAATTTGCAACATATATGCATATACCTCGCTCGTTCCGGGGCTGGTGTCGATAGTGCAACCGATGCGAACTCTGCCGTCCGGCGTTTCCTCAATGGGGATTTCGTTTTTGTCTTCTGTTCTTGATTCTTCGTCCGGTATTGCGAAGGTGAGGTTGTCGAGTTCGTCGTACCACTGCTGAGCAAGCCCGATCTGGATAGAAATTAAATCCGAAATTCATAAGTGGATTACAGAAATCAGCGTATATGCATATCCTTTTTCACCTTTTCTACTGGCGACGCGTTATTATCTAATCCTGAGACTTCCATAGCTGATCCTCTAGCAAAGCGCCATATGCTTCCTTCTTGTGGAGGTTCTACCAGGTCAGTGTCTCGAGGGATTTCGACATTCAGCTCTATATCGACTCTGCCTGAAACGTAAATTATAAAAAGACTTATATGTACATATATATATATATAGTTGAATAAATATACGAGAGAATATACCGGGCAATAGGCGAAAACCTTCTGAATGATCGATGTCTGTTCCTGATGGATTGTTTCTGCAATGTACGATTAAAAATAAGTTCGACAAATCATAAAACCAGGGCATAAGCTTTTTGAGGCTCGAACATACGCGGCGTAGAGGTGCTCGGGAGAGGACGATCCAAGCCAATAAGGAAGCCCAAGGATTCCGAAGTTCGAGAATTTCAAGGTCGATGCTGATGCAGTTCGTCTGTCGAACTTGACTACTGTCTGACCAACTTCATTATAAACAGAAATTTAGCATTACGATCGAGGAAGCACGAGTAATTACAAGTTGAGTACCTGTATTACAAAATAAGTCGTGGTCCTGGCAAGTTGCGACAGAAGACATAAGACCGGCGTATGGCAATCCCTCGAATGAATAACAGTGACTGGAGTGCCGATCTAACCAATCAGAAGGCAGATGGCTCAATGGCGCCAATTTTTCCAGGATCATCTGGCCGCAGATCTCCAAAATCTTTGAAGATTCTTTCAAGCAACGACGGATTAGTAAAACAAATGTAACAGGGAACACTAGAATTCGAATAAGTACAGCGAATACCTTTTACAACTTCCTTGATTTGGCCGGATTCCAAATCGACTATCCATAGAGTTCCAAGGCTGCAAATATCAGTAATAAAAGATAAAGCATATACGAGCATAGTTGGAGAAGCAGAAGCGAACAAAAAAATCACTATTACTCTGATTTGTAAAAATATAAACGAAAGAAATTTTGAAAGATTACAACTCAACGAATGATGAAAGTGTCGTATGTTGCATTTTACCTTTGATTGAGTACTAAGAGATCATCATTCGATGACTTTAGAAGATGCCAAGGGAACAAAAATGATGCAGAATTAAATTCTTCGGATTTCATCTTTGGTCTCCTTTTCCTCCATAATTTATCCACAATCCATGCCCATAAACTTTTATACTTTGTACTTCCATCCACTCTGGGAAAAACTGTGTCAACAACCCTTGTCTCCATATCAGCTCGTCTGATGGCATGGTTCTGCGACAGCGAAAAGTCACACAGACCAAAATGAAATCCAAATATTTATAGAACAATACAAGAAACACAAAAGAAAGGTCATGCATAGAATAAGCCATGTCGCTGATACATGAAATGATGAAATAGCACTGGAACTTACTCAGTAAATTAAGTCGACTTAACGGATAGTAATCTCTCCTCAATTATTAAAACATTATGTATTTTTGCATCTAATACATCTGTTAAAGAAATGAATATCCCATTGAAATATCAAGAGAAAACATTAAACAATTACGTGATTATCTATAAGCGCACCTCAGAATCAACAAAGTAAAGGCAATCATCAGATGCATCATAAAACGAAGCTGCAGGCCGCATTAACTTTGCAATTTCAAATTCTCCATCCTCATATCCAGGAGAAGAACCAATCTGAGAGAAAAGAAACAATTCTGTGTGATGCATCAAAGAAAATTTTCAAGAAAACCTCTCACTGAGTCTTGCGAGTGTTTAAATCGGTTTTAGGACATACGGCATCTAACATTTTCCCATTGTTATTGAACATAATGACGCGATGGTGGTTTACGTCCGAAAGAAAAAGGCGATTACCGCTCTCATCAACAGAAATGCAACCTACACAAATGAAATGAAAAGATTAAGCTCTAATCAGCACAACAAACTCTATGCTAAGCTTACAAGACCAGAAAAAAAATTATAAATAAATAAATAAAAATGAATCCAACAGACATAAGATGTGAACATTCATAAGATTACCTGGGAAAGGAAACAGTAAGTTTCGTGAAGCAGAACAAATATCAGGTTCTTTAACAGCATCAATGGGCTTCGCCCAAGGGCTATAGTTGAAATCATCCACATTTGACTGCTTCCTGGTTTCGGCATTGAGATGGTAAATGGCTGCCAATATGACAGCAACAAAATTATGAGATATTAGGCAATAAGATTCTATCCTGTATACCATAAGATCCAGAAAACGAACAAAAATTGTATATGAAAGGAAAGCGAAGATGCTAAGAATCATGATGGTCAACGAAATCCACCGAGAGATCAAATCAATAATTTAGTTATGACCAATCCTACCACTGCCAATGATATAGTGATCAATAGCAACAAATGCATCCTATCAAATGAAACTAAAAGAAAGAAACGTGTTCAACTTTTGTAACTTCTAGGCTCGAAAATATATCTAACTTGTTTATAAACATGCATGCAATCCATAACCATTTCATAAGACTGCAATAAGGTAAAACTCGGGTGCACCACATACCATTATCAAGCACCTTAAGATCCACATCCACACCAGAACAGACTATAGGATTCTGAAAGCCTTTGGATATGATGAAGCAGGGCACATCTGCAACCTATCGAGACAACAAAATCAAATTTGGATAGGGATGCATATACGGAAAAAATTTTCAAAATAAAGATACAATACATATGAATTCATCATTAATAAATAAAGAAGAATCAAATGAATCAGAATACAAATGCATGGCAACTGCACAAAGTGGCGACTTTGAAGAGTTAAGCATTTGATGCATGATACAGAACAATGCTTCACATGACTTTAAATCATGCAATGCACCAAACACATAATGTGACGCATTATCCATGTCAACATCCAATGGAACACAAACCTCAATGACCTTTCTAGACAACAAAATAGGAAATACAAAGTATTCCTTGATTACTCTCTGGAGCAAATTTGTAGGGATATCATTCAGACGTATTGATTTGCCATATTGTAAAGCCATAACTTGAAGGGAAGGATACCTACATCAAAGATGAAAAGGACAATGTCATCTACATCTTTTAACTAGAACATATGATAACCAAGCGGAGAAAAAAACTTGTCACAAAATATATCAATACCTCTGCTGAAGTGATTTTGCGTATTCAAACATTTTAACTGAATTTTGAGTAGCTTTCAAAGAATGTTCAAGATGTTCATCGATAAGAAATAAAAAGATTCCATCTTCCTTAAACAAATTCTTGTTGCCTGTGATTGTGTTAAGCCAACAGTGAAAAGGGCCTGCAATTTCACCCATTGAGACTCTGACGTAAGAATGATTATTAAACGTGCTCAACGCTACAATTAAGTAAAGTAAAATTACAACAAAATAGAAATTTAACAGGAGCCAACTAAAAATTCTAATGGTGAATGTGAATGCACCATACTGTACATAAAGAAATGAATGATAAATTCGAACTACTCAAGCTAATGTCAAAGTCATCATAATCAAGATCAGCTAAGATAAGCAAGCAGAGCCAAACTCTAATGTAGATAAAGAATCCTCATAAGTCACACTCATATCTATTATTTTGTTCCTGTATGCAATGAAACATTACTTCATAACATACAAGCAGTCTTCACCTCTAGGCTTATGAAGAGAAGATCGAATGAATGGTAAAATATCAATCACAGAGAGCACCTCACGCTTTGTTTCTGGTACGGTTGAATATCTGAAAAAGACTGTCATTAACAAGTAAGAACAGATAAAAGTCCCATATAAGCAGAAGACAGAGCAAGTCAGCAAACTATTAGCTAATGAGTGCATACAGTGAATGTGAATACAGGCACAAAACAGTTGCATATATATACTTTTCGAAAACCAAGAAAATGTTCTATTGAATTAAATCAATGCATGAACTGAACCATGCAAGATCTCAACAAAAAGAAATGCTTTTAAAATTTTGAGATTTCGTTGCAATTGTAACTCAGCACAGAGTAGACACGATGATTTTCTAATAAACCAAACCAAGGAGATGATCAAATTGTCTGCATATTTTCTTTACGATCTTGTTTCTGAAAAAGGCAAAGGAACTTCCAAATTCCAATCGACTGCAGAAAACTTCACCACTATCCAATTCAAAAGAAACAAGAGAAGACAAGTACAGTTTCATCCATTTGGGGATAATTTGTTTAAACAAGAATATCTAAACAGTGAGGAGAAACATAAAGCTAAGCAACAGGTTGCGAATGAAACTTCGAATTCCGAACCTCTGCAGTTGATAATTCGCCAATTCCTGCCTCCTACCCACGCCGTTGCTCGGACTAAACCAAGCAGCTGTACAACGGATATCCGTCAAAGCATTGACCCCCGCCCCATAGCCACCGTGCAAAGTACCTTCAATGAAGATCAAAATGAGTGGAAATGTTCAGGCATCGAATCCCAAACCAATAAGTCAAACAAACAAGTTGATTAGGTGAAAGAACGACATATTTACATTTCTGCAATGTTCTTACCGTAATAAACCCTCGGCAAAGCCCAAATGGCAATACGCAATCGCCGGAACCTCAACTGCATCTTCAATTCCACTTACAATTACGAAATGCCCTCTTGATTGCGAGAAGAAGGTTGGCTGCGAAACGAAGACAAAATTGACTCTTGATTTAGGGTTTTATTTGTTAGGGTTTTAGGGGTTCACGCGCCCACGCGCCATATATATATATATATGAATTAAATAATTTATGAAAAATATATATGTGTATCTATAACTTCACCATTGATACGAATGCCCGCGTTCCGCGGTGCACTGTACATTCCTCTGAGCTTTCTCTTCCATTTTCTTCGGGAGAAATTGGAAGGAGAGGAAGGAAAAAACTGGGAACAAAAGCATTTGTGCTGCGTTGTCCTCCAAAATGATGGCTTTTTGCGATGATCAGGTTATTATTCGTTGAAATTTTATCCTGGCTTTTCTTTTCCGGTTGAACTTATGAGGTATAGGTACATTGATCGATAAACCTCTTTTCTCAGTTTCTGATTTTTATTAGATGTCATTTGTTTTGGAGAATTTGTAATTGCGATCGTCGGTTTGGTGATGTTTTTCCTGGCTTTGTTCAATTATGCGTTGATTTGATTGGAAAATTGGAATTGATTGAGCACTCGGCGGTTATGGTTGTTCTTATGGTTTGAACGAAACGCCATTTCTTCCTGTGCTTTATACCGATCATTGAGATGTAATTCATTCTTCGTTGGAAATAAATTTTGGAAGAACATAGAGGTTTTATGATTGAATGAACTTTTTCTTCCTTTTTGAACGAAACGCCTTTTTTTTTTTGATCAGGGAATGCTGCCTGCCCTGGGATATTAAGGCTGCGACGATGAGCTGCTTCTCATGCTTCTCATCATCGAATGGACGAAAATTATCGAAGAAGTTAGCCGGCGGGAAACAGGATCTGCTCTCAGCCTCTCATCCACACAAAGAGCCTTCCACACAGCCTCCATCACAACCATTGCAACGGCGACACAATGGTAATTACCATTCTCCATATAGACTAATGTTCCTCGGTAGATTGGGATGCTTTTTCACGTTTTTATTCAAACTTTGTGTTTTGGTTTTTGCAATTCGCTGAGGAATTCATAGCTACTTGGTTGTGAATTGATTCTACTGAGGAATTTGAAATGGCTGTTAATATGCAGAACATCCTAAAAAATCACAACCAGAAGCTAAAGACAACAAGCCCGTCGTCGACGGAGGCAACAACATCGCAGCTCATACATTCAGTTACAGGGAACTGGCGACGGCAACCAAGAATTTCCGGCAAGAGTATCTCCTCGGTGAGGGTGGATTCGGACGCGTTTACAGAGGCTACCTCGAGAAAACGAGCCAGGTACTTTTCGCAGTTCCATTCCGTAGTCCGGATTCCCTTTCCCGTTCATCACATTGTTTCCTGTCTATGTACATTCAGATGATCGCCGTGAAGCAGCTCGATCGTAACGGCCTGCAAGGAAACCGAGAATTCCTCGTCGAAGTCCTGATGCTGAGCCTTTTGCACCACCCGAATCTCGTCAACCTGATCGGATACTGCGCTGATGGCGAGCAGAGACTCTTGGTGTACGAGTACATGTCGCTCGGTTCTCTCGAAGACCATCTTCTCGGTATATGTCAAATCCTTCACAACCTTTACGATAAATTGTGCTATTTGAAAAAATTCAGTACAATTCCGACAACACATAACAAAAAATAGTCAACATGAAGTGTTAAATAAAAACACGTAGTTGTGCTGTATCTGTAGAATATACTACATATGTTGAAATCAACTATATATTGTTTTTTACTATAACATATGTAATAGTAAAAGACATTACAATCTATAGTCAAATGTGTCTAAAATCTATGATTGTGTATAAACGCGGCTGCCTGATTTTTCCAGACCTTTCGCCGAAGCGAACTCCGCTGCCGTGGAATGTTAGGATGAAAATCGCGCTGCACGCGGCAAAAGGCTTAGAGTATCTACACGACAAAGCCAATCCACCGGTCATCTACCGCGACTTGAAGTCATCAAACATATTGCTCGACAACGAGTACAACGCGAAGCTCTCTGATTTCGGCCTGGCCAAGCTCGGCCCCGTCGGAGATAAATCGCACGTGTCGACAAGAGTCATGGGAACTTACGGCTACTGCGCCCCCGAGTACCAACGAACGGGCCAGCTCACCGTAAAATCGGACGTATACAGCTTTGGCGTCGTCCTTCTAGAACTCATCACGGGGAGACGGTCGATCGACAGCAGAAGATCCCACGAGGAACACAATCTCGTCCTATGGGTATAAAACGAAAAAAAAGAAAAAATCGATACTCTGATAATATAATTCGATGCTGTTTTTGTAGCTGATGCTCGGGATTTATTTATTGATCAGGCCGAGCCGATATTCGGGGACCCGAACAGATACCACGAGCTGGCAGACCCGTTGCTCCGAGGCGACTACCCGAGGAAGAGCTTCAACCAGGCGGTTGCTATCGCAGCGATGTGTTTGCAAGAAGATGCGTCGATCCGGCCATTTATTAGCGACGTGGTGACAGCGTTGAGCTGCCTACCGATGCAGAACGAGGGAGAATCTCCGCCAGCGGCGACGTCGGAGATGATGCCGGAGAGTTCGGAAAAGCAGCGGCGGACGGAGATGTCGGCCAAGGACAGGGAACAAGCCGTGGCAGAAGCCATAGCATGGGGGAGGAACAAAAGTGTACATTAACAGAGTATGTCTTTGTTGTTTGTTATATATATATATATATAGATATATATATATATATGTATGTGTTTGTTGTTGCCTTTGGTTGTGATTTTCTGCCTATATAAAGCCATGTGTTGTTGATTTTAATATCAATATATTAATTTTTATTTTATTTTCTCAAATATATATATATATATATACTCTTTGTTATCTGATAATATGGAGTAATTTTTTTATGATATACACAATTAACAAATATTTTACATGAAAATATATGTATCGTTTGTTAAATTTGAAGATTTGAAGATACTTTCTTTGCAAATGGTAAAGAAAATATTCTTTGATAGAGCCGTTACAAAGAAAGTATTTTAAATTTAGTAGACAAAGAGAGAGAATTTTTTTAATACAATTCTAAGATATTTTATGCGATATCATATCACATTTTAATTTTCTATTATTCTAATATATTTTTTGAATTATTATCTTGATGGTTCTGTAAGAGCATAAGATATATACTTATTTTATTCCCAATGAAAGTAACTTTTTGTTTATTATATACTAATATTAAAATAATTTATATTTTGTATGTAAATTATAAATATATTATTTAAAACAATTGTGTTACATATTTTTATTAATAATAAAATATTAAAGATTATTTTTTAATTTATTTAAAACTTCTGAACTCGGACTGAAAAAATTACTACTATTATACTAAGTATAATACAAATATATTGGGCACACAAAACAAAACAGTAGTAATTAGGTCTAATAGCAGCCTAACAATCCTTTTTATACAGTTACTATAGCTATTAATCAATGTACAAACAATAAATGTTGCAAATTGTCCGTAAAAATGGCTCAACGGTGTGTAATGAATTTGTAATCGCCACGTCATGGTTCGATTCCCTGCATTTTTTTGGATTCAACTCTCAATATTTCAAGAAAATTAAAATATTTTTTTCGGTCTTAAATATATTCATTTGTCGAAAAATAAAAACAAACAAACAAACAAATTTGGACCAAATTAAGATGGGAATAGCACAGGCCGGCCTGTCAGAGTCTACGGTCTGGTCTACATAAAATCTAGTCTGATCTATTTACTAAAAATATCAAGTCAAAAAAATTTAAAATCTTTTTATTTAAATAAAACGTGCTTATTTTTTTATTTTTTTTTTAAAAAACTTTTTTAATTAATAAGTCAACCTACTTAATAGTATTATAACTTTTTTTATATAATTATATATTAAAAATAACTTTCTATTTAATAATAATATTTATTAAATAATTTTAATTATAAATTTATTATAAAAAATAGAATTTTTTAATTTTAATATATATTAAATAATTGTTTATATTTTATTTTATTTTTATTTTCAACTAAATTTACAGATAAATAAATAAATAAGAATATTAATGTAGTTTTTTAAATAAATTTATAGCCTATTTCCATCCATTTTTATATTTTTATTTATGCATCCTTTTCATTCTGAAGATTTTCCTGCTGGAGTAATTCACGCGACGATTGGCAACGAATGAACTCCTGAGTTGAAGATTCCATGGCGCGGCAAATCGCTGTGTGTTTTTGATCCGCGAGCTATTTCGTTGCAAGCGCCGATTTGCGGTTTAAATTTTCTACGAACTTTGTATTTATTTGCTCGAGAGATTTTTTTGATGTGGTCTGCTTCAGATTACGCTTGCTTGCTCTGGTTTCAATTTGTTCCTTCGTTTACGTTTGATTGAATCTGGCGAGTAACCTCTGCATCACAGTGTTTTCATTTCCTAATTTGGTTTGTAGAGTGGATAATTTGAGGTTTCATCATTCGATTTGTAAATGGAACCGATGAACAACAGTCGGTCGTGGAAGTGGAAGTGGATTTTAGGATTGATTTACATAGTTGCTGTAGCATCAATATGGATTGCTTCTAGTTTCGTAGTACAATCGGTTGTTGATGATGGCGTTTCTCCATTTCTGGTAACTTATATTTGCAATGGATTGTTTGTTGTGTACATACCATTAGTTGAAATTCATCGTTGTTTGGAGGATATCTATGGAGGATTGTCAAGTAGGAAGACAAATACAGCTTCTGAGCAACAAGCACTTCTCAAAAATGGCGAGAATAGCTCTCAATTAGATCATGAAAAGGAAATTACATCAAGGCAGAATGCAGAATCCATGGAAAACATTCGTTGGACACGAAGACGAGTTGCGAAAATCAGCTTGTTGATATGCCCAATTTGGTTTATGGCACAGCTCACATTCAATCTGTCTCTCAAATACACCACAGTCACGGTAAAAATCAAATTCAATACATCATTTGATTTACTTGCTTTACTTATATATTTTAAATTTAGTAAATTTAAATTTGACTATATTGCATATAAATTGGTCTTTTATTTTGTTGATTAAAGCAATGCAATTTTTTAAAATTTTCATAAAATATTTTCAGAGGGTATCAGAAGCTAAGAGATTTTATAGTTAGTCTTTCTATTTAGAATATTTGTTTTTGTTTGCGTTTGGATTTGAGAATTCTGTCCGCATATTTATCCTTAATAGGCCTGGAACTTAGAGTCCCGTTGTTCCTGACTTTGTGGAGAGTACTCCCATTTTTCAACTTTTCAGTTAGAGTTTTTTTGTTTCCGACTTTGAGTTTGTTGTTTTCGACTCAAATTCAGAGAGTATTATTTATGGATTTAACACGGTGGAACAGAGACGATAACGACAATGTTATTTAACTTTCTAATCAAACTTAAGTTTGTTTCTGTTATCTATTATACCACTTGAGTTTGAATGGATGATGAAATATTTTAGATATTCGATTTTAAATTCAATAAATTTATACTTTGAAGTCTATCAAGTATTTCTTTTATATTGCCTATAAATAATGCAATTTTGCAATTTTCATAAACTATTTTCACACTTATAAATGACATTGTCGTAATACAGTCTTTGTTTTTCTTCGTATAGTCAAACACCATCCTCAGCAGTTCATCGAGCCTATTCAGCTTTATAGTTGCACTGCTGTTTTTGGGAGAAACGTTCACTTGGCTGAAGCTTGCCGGCATTCTACTTTGCATCGGAGGAATGTTAGCTGTCAGCTTAGGCGATACAGACGCAGGATCGAGCGCAGTCGCCTCAAATCCCATTCTCGGGAATACGTTGGCTGTTCTTTCTGCAGCGTTTTACGCCGTGTATGTCACTCTAATTCGCCTGAAACTTCCAGACGATGATGAGGCGCAAGGCCGCGCTAGTATGGCGCAGTTTCTCGGATTCTTGGGACTTTTCAATATACTGATATTTCTCCCGGTCGCATTGTTTATATACCTTGCAAAGATTGAGCCGTTCGACGTGCTTACCGGGAAGCAATTTGGGTTAATTGTTGGTAAAGGTACAATTTTTGTTAACCTTTAAAAATTCATTCGCCATTGGAGGTGTTGTTTATGTTAAGTTTTTGCATTCAGGTCTTCTGGATAATGTTGTTAGTGAATATTTGTGGGCGAAGGCGGTGCTGTTGACAACAACGACGGTGGCGACTGCAGGGCTTACAGTTCAGGTACCCTTAGCAGCGATTGTAGATTCATTGTCTGGGAGTATACCACAGCTATTAGATTGCATTGGAGCTGTTGCTATTATGGTTGGTTTTACATGCATTAATATCCCTTCATAATAAGAAAAGTCGATTACACTTGGCTCGGAAAAATGATTCGATAATGTAATAATATAACAAATGCCTAACTAACTCTGCGCCGTATTCATGTGGCCGTGTCTTTGCATGACCCTTTTCGTCGCTAAAGCTGCGGCTTCGCTGGCGCGTAATGTGCCAGACGCCATGATTGCGGCAAATTCTTTGCTGATCTCTTCTTGAACTTGGTTTCGTGCATTTCCTAGTGGATCTGTATGGACGATGTTGTTAGTTTGGTTCTCTTTCGCCCCGTTAGACGGGGGAGTGGAACTTTTCTCGGATTGTTGTGGCTCGGCGTTTCTTGTAGATTGCGCTGTTGATTTGGTGTCCTTTTTAGATTCAGCTGATTTAGTTACGGTCGCGGTATGAATGGAATTAGAAACTGCGGATGCGCTGAATTGGGGCGCCTGTGGAGCTGCGCCCGATCTTAGAGTGCCCTCTAGCTGCTGTATCATAGGCACTGTCAAGGAAATCAAGAATCGCGAAGATTAGAATGAAAGTTGAAGTTTATCATTTGAAGTGAGGGAATGAACTTACACATGAGGGCACCCATGGGGCTGCTCATTACTTCGTTAGGGAGATTCAAGATGTAGTCGGGTATGGTAGCGCCAACCAGAAATTGAGCGATCTCGTTGCTGAAGTTGTTGCAATTATGGGTCAAGAGACTGTATGTTTCAGCTGTGTAGCGGGGCTCGATCTCCTGTAGGTATATTTCGAATACATCTTTAGGCACGTGTGTCACACCAAGATCCACTGTTCGGAGTGGAGTTCCGTATGGAGTAGTTCCAGCTGCGGTGCTTTGAATGCCACCCCCAAAATAGTATTCTTGACCGTATACCACCACTCCAGTGTGCCTGAAAAAGGATATACAATATAGCCAAATTATCCCATCAACTAGAACTTTTCGATATTATACGCAGCTGAATTAACCCGGGATAGGGAAATAGTATGTAATGTAATGAAAACAGCCACGCTTACCAGATGCCTTCAATAGACTTCCCCAAGAATGTTTGTGAGAGTTGTCGGGCTAGGCCTTGGCTTAAGTCATAAACATTCAAGACAACCTTGTGACCTTCCTGTAAAAACAACACATTTAGTAGTTCAGTTATATTTGACACCCGTCTAAAATCGCAGTATCTCTAATTAGTTTGGCCCCGAAATCGTAAAGATGTGTACCTCAGCCATATCGACCAGTCAGTTCGGAAAATAAGACAATGGTAGAAACAGGGGAAGGCGGTGACCTGCAAAACATGTGTACAAGGAAATAAACTGATGAGAATGCTGAGCTATATCAATAAAGAATCGTGAATCCAAAGAATAATGAGGAACAAAAAGAAGAAAAGTTAACCTCAAGACTTCCTAACATAGAGGATACCAGTAGTATAATCTCAAAATGAAATTTTAAGTAACTAATGAACAAGCTAAGCTGACATATTTCAAAATATGAACATGGTCCCAATTTACCATAACAGTCAATACACTACAAGTTGTAATTGCATTAGAAAAACAAATAAGTTCTTCTACTTACTGTCTGACCACAAGCAAAACAAATAACATTGTACCCCCCTCAAGTTAGGGAAAGCAATTTGCAAGGGCACCTGCTTTTGCATTAGAGGTTTTCTACATATCGGAAAATTTGCAGAATCTAAACTACTACAAGTTGCGGAAGAAATGATGTATTGATTCAACACAAAGCAATCTTAGGCTGCATTGTTCTTGCGCAACAAGCAAGACCAAGATTCTACCGCTTTCAAGCTGGATCCTTATTTCAATGTAACTACAAAACTTAGCAACGGTGTAAAGATCTTTTAAGAATATTGATTGGTATATTAATTCAAATGCATAATCTGTCAGCCTAGATCCCCAAATAAGGTTCAAACAGAACTATTTTATTTGATAGCCTTTATATTTGAATTGCTCTAAGAAAATAGATATATTCAAAAGAGAAACGCCGATTAGATAATGGAAATCGTGGGCGTATAAACAACATCTAACCGCGATCCTAGATAAATCTCCAAAACCATGAAATCCAAAAGTTCACAGAAAATTCCGTATACAGATACAGATCTATGAAATCTTCCTCCCCGATCACAAAGGTTGTATCAGAAACAAAACTTTTTCAACAAATTAGATTCAGAAAGCATCAAGAAATCCTTCACAAAACCCTGCACATTCTCAGAAAAAACACGCAACGCCAAAATTCCCCGTCGCCATAAACAAGGAAAACACGCAAAACACATCACGCCTCAGATCAAACTCAAAAACAGATCACTTCCGAACAGAGATCACACAAATCAAACCGAAATCTCAACAGATATCGAACAATAGCACCAAAAACAAGCCAAAATCACGAAATCACAAAAAATCGGCCGAGAAACATTCCAAATAAACGAATCATCACATAGAACGAAACGTGGACAAATTAAAGCAAACAAAAAACTACCATAACATAATGCAGAACATAACAATGCGGAATACCTGAAGAGAAAAAGAAATGCGCCAATAAATCTCCCGAATGAGCGTAAGAAATCTCTAGCGTGTTCTCCGGTTCAATTTTGGACGAAGACAATGACGCGGCGCTGTTTTTATAGTGGTGGAGAGGAGAGGGAATCGACTCGAATTCAACGTGGTGATTTCCGCTTTCCTCAAGCTTCTAGAACATACCGCCCAGTCATATGGCGCCACGTCATTGCTTACCAAAGCCTCCCTGGCTACTTTCCTTTCGTGTGGACATAATATATTCAGCGGTGGATTTAGCGCTAATTTTTAACCTATTACCTCGGGTTCAATATTTTTTGCAAGATTCCTCTCTTTTTTCTTGTTTTTTTTTTCTTTTTTTTTTCATTTGAATTTTTTATAATAAATTAAAAATTAATAATATTTTATTTATTAATAAAAGTGTATAAATAATTTTGATATTTTTATCTACTCCCTCCTCCTTCCATTTCAGCTAATTTTACAATGTTTTAGGTATTATCCGATTGCTAAGTAATTAAAAATTACTATATATAATTATGATACAATAAAAATAATTATAAATTAAAATTAAAATAACTAAATAATTTAATTAATAAAAAATTATAAATATAAATTTTAAAATGCGATTAAAAAGTATAATTATATTTTAAGAAAAAACAAATTATCTTAGGACGAACCGAAATATAAAAAATTGACAAATTATATATGACAGATAGAGTATTTATTTTATGTAAATGAATATCTTTTAGGGGGACAAATAAAATAATATAAATAATAATTTTTAATTAAGAGAAGTATTACTTCATTTCCAAAACAATTGGCGCAAGATTGTTTTTTGTAATTTTAAACTGAAATCAATACCATTTTTTGTGTTTTCAATAAAATTCATTATTTGTTTTTTATAAAATATTATGTAAATATAAAACTAGTACTATATTTTAAATCACAATCAAACAAATTTTAGTATATCTAGTTGTAATTGATATTTTTTTTTAGCAAAAATAATATTATATATTGAATATTAATTTTTTATTTTAGTAAAAATTTGAAATATACTTTGTATCATATATTGAAAAACAAAATTGATTAGGCAAATAAACTTTGTATATAATTGAAATCTAAACCAAATATACAAACGGCAAATCTTAAAGGAAGACAACCTATAAATTTTTCATTTAACATGTCCCAATATCCTCTTTTACATGTTTTATAATACAAGCTTATACTTTTTTTCTTTTTTTTTTTCATTTATTTGAAATATAAAATTTATATAAAATATCACATTTAATATTTTCATCCTAAAGTATTTGTTTTATTTATTTTTATCCTCATTGTTTATTAAAGGCAATTTTATAAATTATATTTATAAAGACGTAAAAGGAAAAAGGTATAAATGAAAAATAAATAAATAAATTTTATAACATTTCCTTTTACGCAAAATATTTTATATTTTATTTATTATATGAAATATTTTTGTATAAAATTAAATTATGAACAAAATATATTTTTCGTCCAAAAATAATGTTCAGTTATAAATACGAATTTAAATTATGTATATTTTATCTAAATAAAAATATAAAATTGATAAGATATTTTAAATATTTTAAAATAAATAAATAAATAGTAAATAATAGTGAGTTATAATATATTTCATTATTTTTATGTAATTAATACTAATACTTGCAGTTTTAAAATAAACTTAATATATATAATTAAAAAATAAAACATGTATTTAAATATTTTAAAAAATATTCTATAATACAAGTAAATAAAAAAATATGTTCATTTATTTATAATTAATATAAATTAATTTAAGGATGTTGAATTTTAAACGTAGATAAAAATATTTGTTTTACAGGAGGTAGATAAAATTAATAAATAAAAAATAAAATTGCGTGGATCCTACCTGTGTTATAATGTTATATAGTTAATTAAGATTTATATTTATTAAGTATATTTTAATTTAATAAATGTTATCTAAAATGAAAATGTCTCAATTGTTATAACACAGACAAAAATAAAATATAAAAATGTGTCAATTAAAATAGAACATTGAAATACTCATTTATTCCTTCCGTCCCTTAACAATCTATTTATTTTTTTATTTTGGTCTGTCCCATAACAAAATATCCATTTTTTTAAAGTAATTGTACTACCTACCTAACATTACAAATATCCTTCCAATTTACAATATATTACACAAATGTCATTACCTTTATATCATACAATGCTAATAGGGTTAATTTAGTCTTTTTACTTTATCCTAATATAATACTAATATTTTTAAAACTTCGTACAAAAAGCAAATTGATACGTAGATATGAGACGGATATAGTATTATTTTAGATTGAATATTTAATTTTTTTATTTTTATAATGACTTTTTATTTTATAATAAGTATTTTAAAGTTTTTTTACTTTTAAATTTTTTTATAAAATATTTTGTATTTATTATTATTTTAAAAATTAAATTAAAAATAGTGTTTAAAGAACCGTACGAATGAACTTTAATACTCCTTCCATCCATACAAGTATCCATTTCCTCTATTATTATTTTAAAAATTAAATTAAAAATAGTGTTTAAAGAACCGTACGAATGAACTTTAATACTCCTTCCATCCATACAAGTATCCATTTCCTCTATTTTAGTAACTGTACTATCTACCTAACATTACAAATACCCTTGCAACTTACAATATATTACACAAATGTCATTACCTTTATATCACATATATTAATAAGATTATTTTAGTCATTTCTACTTTATTGTACTATATTTCAATATAATACTAATATTTTTAAAACTACGAATGAAAAAACAAATGGATCCTTATTTATGGGACGAAGAGAGTATTTTATTTAAAAATATCATCAATTAAATAAACCCCCTATAGTTTGGTTAATCAGAGTGTATTAAGGTCATTAATACGCGGGGTCCACCTCACAATTAAAGCACATGATGGCCCTCGATCCATCTTCCCAGCTTCCCATTAAATTTCATTTTTATTTATTTATTTATTTAACGCACTCAACCATCCCATCCCGTTCATTTAATTATTTCATTATTGTAATCATATCCATCTATTTTATTTAATATTTCCCTTTTTTTTTTTTTTTTTTTTTTTTTTATGAATCTTAATTATATGGTAGATATTAAAAATACTAAATGAATTGAGGGTAAAAATGTAAAATCTGTGTTTAAAAAATAAAATAGAATAATAGTTATTTGACATCCCAAATAAAAAAGTAGGTCGTTTATACTTTCATTCTTCTCAATTTGTTGCTATTGCCTTAAAAATTTTGTAATTTTTTTGTAATTAAAATCTACCTTTATTATTATTATGATGTTATCTTTATTAACACAATTTATAACATTATCACAAACAACAAAATATATACTTCATCTGTCGACCTATAAAGTATACATATTTATATTTTGGAACGTTCAATTATAAAGTAACCATTTTATTAAATACTCTATTTTTTTTAAAAAAAATACCCTTAGGTGTGTTTGTTTGAGGATTTGGATTTTAAGTTGGGATTTGAATAGTAAAAATTTTGAATTTGAATAGTTGTATGATGTGATATAAATAGGTGTTGATGTGATGTTTTGAATGTAAAATTTATTTTTAGTATAATATAAAAAATGAAAATATGTGTTTGATTTGATGTTTTTAGAAGGGAAAAAATGAGATGAATAATGAAAATCTAATCCAATCCCCCAAACAAACACACCTTTAGTTTACATCACATAATTACTTTTATTAAAGAAGAAAATATCATTACACTACCTTTACTTACAGCGTATACTTCTTACTTGGGATAAATAAATAAGAATTTAATTATGCTAATTATCAAATTCCACATACAATAAAGTAGTAAGTGATCACATCCAATATTCATTACCTTAAAATACACAACACAAAAACTATATTTTTAATTGTATCATACATTTTTAATATTTGGAATGTAAATATTCATTTTAATAGTCAAACTAATATAGATCAAAGTGATGAGATATTACTGAATAATAATACCTCTATCCACCGCGAATCTATCAATTTATTTTTTGCATGTTAATATTTAAATATTAATTATTAGATCAAAATGTAGTACAAATCTAAGAAAAACGACAATAATAATTCTATTGGTGTCTTATAACACTAATGTAACGATATTTCTAAAAAAAAAAAATATATTATACAAATTTAAGGATATTTTTTATGTTATGGACACAATTGTTTATATATCACATAAAAAAAAAAATCAAATAATAACACTAAACAAACAAACCCTAAATCTTTATAAAATAAAAATAATGTATTTTTAACAAAACAATGTGTTCTTTTAATTTTTTTTTCCTACACGATTTTTTTAAAAATATTAATATATCATATATAATCATTATTTTTATATTATTTACACAATTTTACATACTTCATAATAAAAAATATCTCTTCAAATCATCTCCTAAAACAAACACACCCTTAAACTCACATACTAAAAATTGTAAAATATCAACATTGCTTTCAATTTGAAAAAATATTTTTAATTTAAGATATTATAACAAAGAAACATATTAATATATATTTATTTTTTGTATGAATATTGTAGAATAATAATATTTAAATAGTAATTAATGATTTTTTATATGTAAAGATTTTTACTATTTTAATATATTGTATGTAATTATATTAAGTGGTAGAATATGTCTTTTTCTCGACTTTCCATATAAAAAAAATAAAATAAAAAGATGATGACTTTTAAATTTTGAGATGATATATTAACAGAGTCATTTAAAATATATATATTCTTTTCGCTCATGATATATGTGTAATATATTGTAAGTTGAAAATATATTTAAAGTGTATTTGTTTGGGGTTTAGATTTTGAGTTGAAATTTGAATAGTAAAAATTTTGAATTTGAATAGTTGTATGATGTGATATAAATAAGTGTTGATGTGATATTTTGAATGTAAAATTGATTTTTAGTATAATATAAAAAATAAAAAATAGATGTTTGATTTGATATTTTTTTAGGGAAAAAAATGGGATGAATAGTAAGATTTTGCAAAAATCTTACAAACGAACACACCTTTATTATATTATGTAAGTTGTACAATTACTAAATTAAAAAATAATAACCTTATTTCAAAATAAACGAAAAAAAAAATAATAACCTTTTTGTTGAACGATAAAAATATTTATTTTTACCGAAAAAAAATAAAAAAATGAGGGTCATGTAAAAGCAAAGTTGGGAAGAACCTTGACCACCAATCTACTTTTTCATATATAATTAATTTATATATAAAAATATCAAAATTATTTTACATATTTTAACTAATATTTTCCCCGTCGCTTTTTTTTTTTTTTACAGAGTTTAAGAAAATTTAATTTACATAGTTAATTATTGTGATTAGTTAATGTAATATATGCAATAAAATGTTATTTTAATTATTTTTATTTGATGAAATATTGAAATAAAAGTTGAAATATTATTTTTTTTTGTTTTATTTTATTTTTTTATTTTTAATATTTTATTTTTTAAAAAAACATTATTATAAAGATTGTAAATTATGCTATTAGATAAAAAAAAATTAATTTTAATAATTTAAATAAAAAAATTACAGCCGTAATATTAAAACTTTTAATATAAAGAAAACATCAAATTTTTCGAATTTGACTTTTGGTAGGGATAGTTCGATATTACATACCCAAATTTATAACGCATATTTTATATATGATACCAAAATTTTTAGTATGCTATTTTATCGTAATGAGATGTTGTACCGATAATTTGGTATACCGAATTTATAGATAAAAAAAATACTAAATTACAAAAATAACACATACCGTACTAAAAAATACCGAAAATGCCAAATTTCAGCATACTGAACTTTTTTGGTATGGTATCGATATTTTTTTTAATATACCAACAAATTCGGTGCGGTATACAACATGATTCAATATTATCTCAATACAGTATCGAGTCATTTCTAATCGAATTACGTGTATGGTATCTAATATAATATTTTACGCTTAAATATAAAAATTAAAAATAATTTTACAAGTTTAAGAATATATAAGAAAATTAATTATTTTAGTATTAATATACTAAATTATTGATATAGACCGATATACTCCTCAAATACTAAAATTATTAATATTTTCAGTATATATTATACCAACAGTGCTAAAAGTATATGCAATTGTCGTACTGAAAATGTTCGGTACGGTATCATATCATTAAAAATTTACGATATACAATAATTTTGACACTTTAGTATTTTTTCATACGGTAGGTGTATTATTTGAGCAAATTGATATTTTTGACTCTTAATAATAGTGATAAATGAAATTTTTTAATGAAATATAAAAATCAAATTCTAAATTTTCAATAGTAAAATATCAAATCAAATATTTTTTATATTATATTAAAAATTTTAGACATCACATAAACATCTATTTATATCATATTGAATATTTATTATTCAAAATTTTATCCATACTTGTAAATTTATAATAAAACAAACAATAACGTTAAAGATTATTAGTAATTAAATAAAATATAGTTAAATTTGTAATTGTAATTAATATTTATTTAATTATTACTATATTAAAAAATGTGACTAATTTTGTGGGAAACGACTAAAAGAGGAAATGTAGACTAATTTCACGACGGAGAGAATATATCATGTAGATTGTTACTTTATCACAGTTCATATATTTTTAATTTTTGTTATATTAAAGTAAATTTTATACTGATAATTTACTCCCTCCATCCTACGTAATTTGTCCCTATTTTTTATTTTCGTTTGTCCCACATAACTTGTCATTTCTATTTTTGTAAATATAATTATGCACTTTAATCGCATTTTAAATTTTATAATTTTCTTAATTTTAATTAAACTATTTACTTATCTTAATCTTATTCTATAATTATTTTTACTAAATAATAATTACTTTTACTAATATATTTCTTAATTAATTACTAATTATATTTTACTAAATTTTCCGTATCTACAATAAATAGTCCCATATTTTATGGGACGGACGGAGTATAATTTAGGGTGAGCATTCCGATTTTTGGTTCGGATTTGGCCGAAAATCCAAAATTTTTGAAAAAACCAATATGAACCGAACCAAAATAACCAAAATCCGAAATCCGAAAATCCGTAATCCGAATTAAAAAATTAGAACCAAACCGAAAAATCCGAAATTCTAATTATTTTTATTATTATTTTTTATAATTTTTAAACTCTTTTATATTTTATTATTATTTTATAATATTAAATATATATAATATATAAAAATTAAATATATTAAAATATAATTAATAAATTTGAGTTTTTTATATTAAAATATAATATTTTCTAATAAAATATTAAATATATATAATAAAAAAATATATTAAAATATTATATTTTAAATTTCGGATTGGTTCGAATTTTAAGTATATCGATTCGATCCGATCCAAAAATTCAAAATTTGTTAAAAGTTCAATTCGATCCAATCCAAAAATTTGAACTAAATTTTAAATTTCGATTTGGTTAGAATTGAATTTTCGGATTTCAATATTTTGCTCACCCTAAGTATAATTTTGATGGGATGGACATCTCTAATTAAATCATTAATAATATAAACTGCAGAAATGGAATTAAATAAATATTATTGTGGATTCTGAGGGTCGAATTTTTGTAATGACGCTGAAAGCGACGCTCACCAAAAGAGTCATTAAACCTCGAACGTATTACAGCCCCGGTTCAGGCCACGTCAGCAAAGACACGCTGTAGTGTTCACACATCGCTACAGCGCCGCTTCGCTTGCAAGAAATCCGTTCGATTTTTAGCGCGTGAGGTCGCTATCATCTGCCAAACCTAAACCCGAACCTTCTGGTACGGGCCAGATGCCACTTCATTTTGCACTCCGAGCCTTCCGCTTCGGGTGAGGCGCACTCCGTGTAGTTCGCCGAGCCTGAGTCCGAAGCTAAATTTACTATACATAAGTTTCCGTCTGTGTCTTAGGCTCAGATCCCTGCGGGACTGCTTTTTTCCAGCTATTTTCGACTTTCTGTTGCCGATTTTTCCGTTCTCTGTAACTTCGTCACTCGAAGTCGAGCTCCTGTCTTTGTTGTGGAAATCTGGAGCTGTCCTTCTGGTAGTTGTTGCTGCTGTTGTTCATTAATTTTTTTTGGATGAATGCTTACGATTTTAGTAATTTTTTGTTTGGTTTGTTAATTGTGGGTGAATTTTGTCCAGGAGTTGGAGGCAGAGCTGACCTGCATGTTTTTGAATTGTGGATTGTGTTGGGATTAATCGCGGGGGAACTTTGTGGAATTAGAAACCGAGATCGCGATCCGTGTGTTGAATTTGATAAGTAGTTGGAGTTCCGAGTTCGAGATTTGTGGACTTGGTGGAATACTTGGATTTACTTGAAGAATTAAAGGTTATCGGTGGTTAGTTGAGTAGCAAGGCTCCCCTGCTTTGGGAGTTCTTTTATAGAAAAACTAGAGCAACATTTTTTGTTGATTGAAGATCTTCTTTGCTCAAGTAAATTTAACTTGGCTGTTCTTTTGTTTTGTAAAGTTGATTTGGTTCGAACTATAGGGTTTTTGATGCAAGGATCTTGCTGCCGATCCTGATTTCTCCAATTGGTCGGTGAATGATTTGCTTATTTATTTTATTTATTTTATTAATTATTATTAATTTGTTTTTTCGTGCAAGAAACTTAGGGTTTCTCAATGTTATTGGCAAAATTTTCCTACTGAATTGCATTTCTGGTTGTGGACTTGCAGAGAAAGTGAAGAGTCTCGGGGAGTAAAATCTGGTGGAGTGATAGCCATGGCGCAGAGTAACTGGGAAGCAGATAAAATGTAGAGATTATTGACTAATTGTTTTGAAATTGCAATGTCTTGATTTTAATGTGGCCAAAAGAAGGAACCAAAAGCTCATGAATGTTCTGTTGGTGTTTTATGATGATCTTATTGTTTTTCTGCAAAAAGTAGATTCTTGACATGGGAATTTTATATTAAATTATTACACACACGGCACACGGTTCCTGGAAATTTAACTTATCCACAGCATATTAATTAGCTATAGAATGTAATAACTTTCACATAATTTGACTTGCCCTCAAAAAGTTCTGTTTTTAAACAGTGTTTGAAATAATATTTGGATTGATCTTCGCTGACGAAACAGGATAATATTTTGTCAGGCTCGATGTCTACATCCATGACTACTTGTTGAAACGGAAATTGGTTAACTCTGCAAAAACTTTCATGTCGGAGGGAAAAGTTGCTACTGATCCTGTGGGTAAGAATTTGTTATTTTCCACATGTTAATGATGGTGTCTGGAGTTGAGGAAATCTGTCTCCTGATTCTGTTGACAATACTCAATGATGAGCTCGGTTTTACTATGTTTGTAGCTATTGATGCGCCTGGAGGATTTCTCTTTGAATGGTGGTCGGTCTTTTGGGATATCTTCATTGCAAGAACTAATGACAAGCATTCGGAAGCAGCAGCAGCTTACATAGAGGTGTCTAAAAGATCTGTACTCCCTGTCAAGTGTTCGGGAGGGATAGTAGATCAATAGATTCTATATATTCGTGTGTGGGACAAATAATTGACGCTACCCTTCTATGTTTCTCTCTGAATTCAGACACAACAAATTAAAGCAAGGGAGCAGCAGCAGCTGCAAATGCAGCAGTTGCATCTCATGCAGCAGCGTAATGCCCAGTTACAGCGAAGGGATCCTAACCATCCTCCACTTGGTCCAATGAACTCCATGAATTCTGAAGGAATGATAGGGCAGCAATCTGCTAGTGTATTGGCTATGAAAATGTATGAAGAACGCATGAAGCATCCTAATTCCATGGATTCTGAGACTTCTCCCAGTGTTATTGATGCTAATAGGATGGCACTTCTTAAGTCAGGTCCCAATCAACAAGGGTAAGATTATTGTCTCACGTAGAAGTAGTTGAATGGATATATTCTATCTTCGATGGAAATTAATGTTTAGTTTCCTTTAATGTGGTCAATATAGACAATTGATGCAAGGAAGCTCTGGGAGCATGTCTGCAGCATTGCAGCAGATGCAAGGGGGGCGGCCTCAACTGACCAATGTAATCAATTAACCTCCATCTTTGCTTTGTCTGCCACTACTCTTAAGCCGCTATTTCTTCCTATTTGAGCTGATCCTCTTGCTTTATCCTTTTCCCAGGACATTAAAACTGAAGTTAATTTGGGGGGAACTCAAAAATCTATGCCTATGGACCCAGCATCTATATATGGTCAAGCAATTCTTCAGTCAAAGTCTGGACTCAGCGGTGCAGGTATACTATGAATTTATTATGTGTGAAGTGTTGCTTCTTAAGTGCTTAACTAGCGTTGGTAGGGAGGTTGCATCCTCAAATCTGCACCATCTATCTTTGAAAAATATGTTCTATAAGGAACTTTGCCCACATAGGAGGGCAACAGTGTTGAAGAAATATAAATATATTCTTTAAAGTGACCTTTCTTACATGAAAGTTCTACATATGACTTCGATGTTTTCTTCTTTCTTTTTTTTGAATTACCAATCCAACATTGAATTAGAACTCCATATCAATATGGAGGTTGCTGTAAAATTAAATCAGGGGTGCTGTTTTGGTCGTGATTTTGTATGTGTATTTGGTTTTTGAAGTTTCATGCATAATGGATATTGATGTGTTAGCTAAATATATTAATTGAAAGTCACGCTTACATAATATGCACCACAATATCCATATCAAGTTGAATGTCAGTCAGTCAATGTAGAAAAAATGAATCATTGCCAATGTCATATAAGTTAGTTTCTTACCCTTAATTTGTACTATTGAACACATAGGGGTACATTTTCCGGCATACTGTGTTTTAGATGATCAATAAATATCTAATTTTCTAAAAACCCACCATTTTCTTTGGTTTCATTTCTCTGGCACATCCAAATGCCGAGGGATTAAACAAAAGGCTAAAACATAAAAAATCTTGAGATATTGGGTTCACCATGGGGTGGACAAAAATGAATGTCCTTCAAAAGCCTAGGAAGCAAATACGTATCTTGTGGTTTTTAACCTTATAGTGATGTCCTACATTTCAATTAGGAACAGGTGTAATCTTTCATGTTAATTCAGTGCTTCAAATGTGAAGGCATCCTCAAGCTTCAAGCTTAACTTTGCCAAATCGTGTGCTGTCTCTCTAATGCTAACTTCATTCTGACATTGGTTGAAAGCTTACTTAACCATCATGATATTTATTGTTATTCAGGACTGAGCCAAGGAGTGACGAGTCTTCCATTGAAGGGATGGCCACTGACAGTGAGTTTTTTTGGGGCTTCATACTTCTGAAAATAATATCTGATTTTATTTGAATAAACTCAATAATTCTTGCAATGTGGCACAGGGAATTGATCAATTACGGCCTGGTTTGGGTTTGCAAGTACAAAAACCCAATCTGCAGGCTCAAAACCAGTTTCTATTAGCCTCACAGCAGCAGCAGCAGCAGCAGGCTCTAGCCCAAGCTCAGGCACAAGGAAACCTTGGAAACTCTGGCAATTATGGGTTTGGTGGTTTACCGCGGGGTAACTTTAACGCAAAAGATGGCCAACCTCCAAGGAATGATGGGCCTATTTGCTCTCCAGTGCAATCAAATTCACCAAAGGTTAGTACTGTGGATGAAATACTGAATAATATGTTTAATCTGTGCAATAAATATTCCAACAGTTGATCTGTACAGTTTGGTGAATTGTGGAAACTTAGAATGTCTGATTTCAGTATCCAATCATTTAGGATGTGATGGCTTGTTTGGATGTGGTTTAGAAGTTAGGGAATGATAGATAGCACCATGATTATCCAATCCTTGCTGCTGCTTCAATAGTTCAAATCTATATATATATTTTTAAATAAATTTATTTAGTCTATGGACGAACTGTTGTTTTAGCTGTTCCACTGCTGAATATTAATATTTCCTTTTAACGCTTTGATTCTTATGAACTTTTCTGAAAATGCGATGGATCGTGAACTTAAGGTTCATTTTCTGAGGATGGTACAGCCTGCCACCTGTATCATCTATTATTTGTTTTGGGTTACGCTGCTCCTTTTTTGTCCTGTTAAAAAGGAACTCCTGGGAATGCTTTTTTATTGTCAGTCATTCAGCTACAGTATGTACTATTATACTGCATGTAGCAAATCTCTTACTCACATAATAGATTCTTCCTGGCCTTTTAGTTTTGGCTGCCATATGCCCATCTGAGAATTTTCATTTAATTTTACTATTCTTTCAAACTTGAAATTATATATGATATGTTTCTGTTAAGGTTTTAGAGGATAATATTTATCTTTGTAGTAGAAGTACTACATATAGGGAACAGCAAAATGTGGCTATCTCTTGGATTTCTCCAATTTACATAGATAATTTTTACTTTGTGTATCGCTGGCTGTTTATGCCTAATCTATTTCTTGGGGTGTTTTTCATATTGAGTAGATGAAAATGGCTCAAATGTCACAGCCGTCCTCTCAACAACCGGATCAGTTGCAGCAGCAGCAACAACAATTGCAACAGGTGAGTTCATTTTATTCTTTCAATTTCAATAGAATATGATGCAGCAATCATCTGATGATGATATAAGTGCACTTGTTGAAGGCATCCTTTTAGTGATCTCTGCCTTTGATATCAAACAGAACAACAGGAAGCGGAAACAACATTCCTCCTCTGGTCCTGCTAACAGTACAGGTACTGGAAATACAGTGGGCCCTTCCCCAGGCTCACCACAGTCAACTCACACCCCGGGTGATGGAATGACTACTGCTAGCAGCCTGCAGCATGTCAATAATGTCTCTAAGAGTAGTATGATGATGTATGGTACAGAAGGTGCTGGTGGATTTGCATCATCTACAAACCAACTTGTAAGACTCAGCCCTGCTGTTTGACTCGATTAATTAACAACTTCTTCAATTCTTTATCTTTTCACCTAATATTTTTCTGATACACCTCTCTAACCTCTATTCTAGCACCTTACCTGCAATCTAATAGTCTTGACGTGAAACACATATCAAGACTGGAAACAAATTTTTAACGTTGTGATCATGGTTCTACAGAATCCAGTAGGTGCCTTTGAAGTTTAAAAGTACTTTTTGTTATACAGGATGACTTGGAGAATTTTGGAGATGTTGCTTCTCTGGAAGACAATGTTGAATCGTTTTTGTCGCATGATGGAGGAGATGGAAATTTATATGGGTCTTTAAAACAAACTTTGACAGAGCACAAAGCAGAGACATCAAAAGGTAGTTGGCAAGATGTTATCTATCATGGATATGCTTTTTAGTCCTGAGTTTTGTTGAAACAAAATGTTCATTTGCATTACTTGCAGGTGTCTCGTTTGGAGAGTTGGGTTGTATTCGAACAAGAAATAAGGTGACTTGTTGCCATTTTTCTTCTGATGGAAAGTTGTTGGCTAGTGCTGGTCATGACAAAAAGGTATTATCTCCACTTTGAGTCTCAACAGCGTCACAAAAATAATGGGATGAAAGATGAATATGGATGTTATCATGCAGTTCCATTGACTAATTTTTGTTCAACATTCTTTTGTTTTAGGTGGTTCTTTGGAACATGGACAATCTGCAAACAGAAACTACTCCGGAGGAGCATCAAATCTTAATCACTGATGTTCGATTCCGCCCAAATTCAACTCAACTTGCGACGGCATCATTTGACAAGTCTGTCAGATTGTGGGATGCTGCTAATGTACTTATTTCTTTGACTCAAACTGCTACAGTTTTATTTTACTTTTTCTTTTTTTTGCTGCTGAAATGAAACTACCAATAGCAATAGGGATTGCTGCATGCATTACGTAACATTTAAACAGTTCCGAATTTTCTAGTCTCAAGCATCTAAATTTGCAACTAGAAGTACTAACTTTGTTTAAATTTTCATCTAATGCAGCCGAGCTATTGTCTAAATGCCTACACAGGGCATGCATCCCATGTGATGTCCCTGGATTTCAATCCTAAGAAGAACGATCTTTTCTGCTTTAGTGATAGTAACAATGAAATTCACTATTGGAATATCAGTCCATTTTCGCGCACCCGGATTTCTAAGGTTGGCTATCTGAGATACTGCTGCACTCTTCCTATTTATTTCCCTCCATTTTATGTTTGAACTTCAACTTCTTGATTACATGATGCAGCAAGGAGGTTCCGCCCAAGTGCGATTCCAACCTGTAACCGGACATCTACTGGCAGCAGCATCAAGCAAAGTGGTTTCTATATATGATGTTGAAAATGACAGACAAATCCATTCTTTCCTGGTTTGTGGCATTTACCTGCTTTTCTAGTACTTACTAACAACAGTATACACGATTCGAGGAACATTCTGAGCTTGGGGGTGTTTAACAGGGACATTCTGGCGAGGTGAACTACCTTTGTTGGGATCTTACAGGCGACCTCTTGGCTTCTGTCAGCGATGACTGCATCAAAGTTTGGTCACTGAATTCCGGAGAGTTCATCCATGAGCTCCCCTCCAATGGAAATCAATTCCTTTCCTGTGTCTTCCATCCTACTTATTCTGCTCTCCTGGTGATCGGAGGATCGAGAGTAAAAATCACCCTTCCTTGCCTCTTACACACCAATTAATCTCTCCCTATTACAGCCTATCTCTAATTCCAATTTCACCATAACAATGCAGTCTCTGGAACTGTGGAACATGTTGGAGAACAGAAGCATGACAGTTGCTGCCCATGACGATATAATCGCTGCTTTGGCCCAGTCACCCGTGACAGGAATGGTTGCCTCTGCCAGCCACGACAACTCTGTGAAGCTATGGAAGTAAGCAAGCCAGCAGAAAATGAACGATGCCAGAGTCAAGAAACCTTTGATTAACATACTAGGTAAACTTGCCATAGTACTCCTGGGATGCTGTCTTAATCTTATTGCATGCAAAATGTGAATCTATTGTGTGGTTATAAGCTTATACTAATGTGTCTAATCAACGTTCTATCGGGGTGAATTCTAGAAAAGAGAGAGAGAGAGAGAGAGAGAGAGAGAGAGAGAGAGAGAGAAGCAACTGCCTTATTAAGAACAAAATTCTGTGATTAATTCATACTCCTGCTTCTTGTGCTATTCTCAATAAACCATCCTAATTTATCTGATAGTTTTTTAGTTTTGTTTTTGTAATGTATCCACTTTGTCCTCTGCCTAAAATTGTTAAAAACTTATTTGCTTAATATTATTTGTATTATTGGAGTATAGGGTTTGTGAGGAACTTGAAAACAGATTCTTTTTTGCATTGGGCCAATCGACCTATATAGGTTAGCAGTAATAATAGGCACCATTATTATATATAATTGCTAGCACTAATTCATGATCATATGTTTCTTGCATTTATTTTAATTTTGTGACCGTACGTGTATTCATTCATGAAAGCCAGCCAGGAAATCAGCGGAAAAGTAGGGGAAATTTTAAATTTGTGTTCTTTTAGCATTCCAATAAGCATGAGATTATTATTATTATTATATATGTTTTTTATTATTTTCTTAGTTTTCATTTTAATTGTGTGCAATTTGTTAAGTCTTTTGACTGTTTTTTAGTGGATAATAGGATTGTGGCATATTCTAGTGGGATTGCTCCTATGTGGTAATAAAAGTGTCTTGGCATTTTAATTTTTGGAAATTTGAGTCTATAAAGTAAACAAATAATTATATGCTGTTGAATAATAAAATAAAAAGATAACAATTTTTTAAAGTGTGAGACAAGAAAATTGGGCCCTTATTGGAACTTGTTTATTTCATGTGAGGAAGCAGCATTATTGCTATTATTAGCTTGAAAAGTAGTGTAGTATGTAGCTTGTGTTTTGTGATTTTTGATTGTTTGGATTTGATATGATATGATATGATGGATTCAAAATAAAAAATATAGTAGCAAGTTTGATGGTGATTTGAAGTTTATTGATTATTATTATTATTATTATTATTATTATTATTATTGTTCCAAGTGTGTGCTTTTTTATTTATTATATATATATATATATATAAATAAATACAGGATGATAGAGTAATATATTGATAATTGTGCTCTTAAATTAAAAACAAAGGAGTGGTGCAGCAGAATTGATGGTATTGTTGAAAGTTGAGATGAGAGAAACATACATAAGAAAGAAAATGGTGTGTAGTTATTGCATAATTAAATGACCAATTTAAGTGCTGCTTAAAACTTTGAGATGTGCCTTTGACTTTCACAAAACGTTTTCTTATTTACTGTATATTCTGAAATAATAGTATTTTATTTGTTAGTGTAAATATATGTAATAATTTTGATATTTTATTTGTAAAAGAACAAAAATAAGAAAATGAATACGTTTGAAATGAACATTTATTTTGATATTCCAACTAACTAGGATTTATTTATCACTAAATTACCCAAAAATTGCTCTGCTAAATTGGTATCCATACCAAAAAGTTAATATCAGCTAAATAATACACGTTTAGTTTAATTATAAATAATTTCAAAATTCTTTACTTTGAATTAAAATTTTAAATAAAAAAATTAATTTCAAATTAAAATAAAATACTTTCATCCGTCGAAATGAAAATAACATTTTATTCAAAAGTATTTATATCTATTAAAGTTTTTAAAACTTTTATATAGACGCAGCCATAATATAATATTTATTTAAGCACATAAAAAATTTCTTAAATTCTTGATTAGCACACCACATATTGCATGCCGAATTTAAACGACAAAATGGCGTCATCATCACCGATAGAGAGAGTATTATTAGAATAATCAACAACAATTAATTAATTAAAGTGGGTCCAATATAAAAGTAGTAATAATTATAAATAAATAAATAAATAAATAGACGGTGAGATTTTTTTTATTTTAAAAAAAAAAAGGAAAAAGAAATTGAGAAAAAGGGGGCACGGCAGGGCAGGGCAGGGCACCGGGTTCGCCGGTTGCCGGTTGCTCAAAATTAACCCTAAATTTAAAAACCCTCGTTTGGGTTTACTGTTATTATTTTTATTTTATTATTTCGACGGAGAGATATTATAATGGGCAAGTACACTCGCAAGCCCAAGCCCTCCGGCGACGTCTCCCCCGCCGCCGCCCTCGGCGTCCGTACTCGCGCCAAGACGCTCGCGCTCCAGCGCCTCCAATCGGCGCAGCCGGATTATCTGGAGCTTCGTTCCAGGCGGCTCGAGAAGCCGCCGCTTCTCTGGCAGTACCTTGAGAATTCGCGGAAAGCCGCCGCTCGGAAGCGTGATTTGGATGGGGAGAACTCTCGAATCGGAAGTTCGAGCGAGAAATCGCCGATTGGAGAAGCGGAGGAGAAGGACGGGGAGGAGGAGCAGCAGTTGGAGGTTGGGGATTTGGAAATTGAGGTTTCGTTGGGGGAAAATAATTTGGATGTTGAAGTCAGGGAAAGGTATATGTGGTTTTTTGTACAGCGTATTGTTTTCAAGTTCCTTGCGAGTTAGTTAATTTGATTTTTTTTGCTGATTTTGATTTTATTGTTTGCTGTTGGGAATTTGGATTGTTGCAGGTTTCTTCGCTGCCTTTTTTTTTGTTAGTTTTGTATTTGAAATTGAATCCTGTGTTTGCTGGAAGTGATGTTTTGATTAGGCTAAGAGCAAGGCACCTATTCTATGATGCTATTCCTTTTTTTATTTTCCTGCTGTTTGAGATCAAAATTGTTCACGAAAACTTTACCAAATTGGTGTCTTTCAGCTTTGCATATTCATGCATTGCCTTCCCCTTTATGTCTGTTTTTTTCTTAATTTATTATATAATATATATATATATATATAAAAGTTATCTATGTACTGTAGTTCAAGAATCTATGGTGAAAATAGGCTTTTACCCCATTAAAGTAGAATGGGAAGGTTTGAGCGTTAAAGGAAGAATTCCAGCTTTTTCGAGTTTTGTGTGTCTGTTTTTTTCGGTTTTTGGTGTTTGTTTTCTGTGAGAAAGCTACCGTTGTAACTTTTCTTTACCCTGTTGAAGTTTGCCTATTATGGGCATCCATTTTTTTGTTCTTTTAATCTTGTTTGAGAGATGGCTTTTGTCACTAGTTGTCTTTCTATCTTTGTTTTTTTCATTTTCTTGTGTTGAAATGTGTTTTATGATGCTTTGGATTTGAATTCTTCTGTGGTGGAAAATAGTTATTGGATTTTATGCATCTTCGTATATAGTTTGGGTGTTGAAAATTATATTTTAGGATGGTAAAAAACTGTTTTACTATAGATTGCACCATGACAAGTGAACTTTAAAAAATTTCAATTGTAATAAATAGATGTGCTTTTAAATTATCTTATGTTTCTTTCCCAGAAAATGTTTGTTGTACACAAACCATTTTCATATGCACAAATGTTAGCTGATAGTTTGTTTGTTTGGCAAATTTCTTACTTATAAGGGATATGAGTAGCAAGCTAATATAGGTTGGGGATCCTGTCACCTTGAAATATTGTGGACTCGGATAAATGGGGAGGCATGTCTCTTAATTTTATGCTATGTGCGAGTGATACCGAAAATCTAATGCTGTTTTTTAACCAGGTCCACCCGAGAAACCACACCGTGTAGTTTAATCAGGTCCACTGATAATATCACACCGCCCGGCTCCTCTACTAAGCAGAGAAGTCCTTCAGAGAATCGAAGGGTCCAGAATGTATTTAGAAACACTCCTACAACTCATGAAATAGAGGAGTTTTTCACCCAAGCAGAGCAGCTGCAGCAGGATCAGTTTATCAAGAAGTAATGTGCTTTGTTTCACCAATTTTCGTTTGATTCTTCATTTAAGAATGAACTCAGCTAAAACCCCAATCTTCCATTGCAGGTACAATTTCGACATCAGGAATGATTTACCCCTTCCCGGTCGATATGAGTGGGTAAAAGTGATCCCTTGAGCAGAGCACTCTGTGCAACAACTGTAACTTATCGTGGTCGGAAACTCTCACCTAGGAAGAAGGTAGAACTTACTAGTCACCCCTGCAATACTTCATTGCTGTAAAGTCGAGCAGTAGCGAAGATAGAATTGTAACTTTAGCGATGTGTAGAAATACTAGGGGCCGGGAAAGTCCAGTCTAACCATTTAGAAGTAGGATCTCGCACAGAATGAATGTAACAGTAGGCTTTTGATAAGGTTTAACATCCCTGAAATAATTTGCAGGTAATCCTCAGTTCTAATTTTAGTTTTCGACTTGCATCACTGCCCTATAATCGAGCATGCATTTCATATCCTAATGATGCCCATCACCCCACCCGGTAATGGTATCTAGAGTTTAAAGTTGCATTGTTCTCTAAATATTTTATCGTGTCGTATTAAGTATTCGCAGCTGCAGCTACTGTTATGCCGAGGGAGAGCTATTTGAAAGCTTGGCTATGTTGGAAAGGTAAGGTGATAAATTTTAGTTTTGATCCAAGAAAATTTATGATTGAAAATTGAGTTAGAAAAATGGAGTAACATGCTAGTTAGCTAGTTGTATTATTGTATGTGTGGTGATTGATTCCTCAATGAAAAAATTGAGGGAAATGTATAGAAGCTTATGGAGGAGTTTTAGAAAGAAAATTGGGAAATAGGAAATATGATGTTAGGTGAGAAAGATATATCTATTTGATAAAAAATATTATTGTTGTTGTTGTTGTTGATGTATAGTAAGTATTAAAACTTTCAAAAGTGTCTTGTAAATGGAGTTGTAATGGATTTTTATGTCCAAAAATCCATTAAACTAAGTTAGTTGTATGTCATGTAATAAGTTTAACCTAAGCTAGTGCAAGTGAAGAGTAGATTTGAGTCAATTAGGCTTGGTTTTGGATCGAGATTTTTTGAGTTTTGAAATATTTTATAGAAGTTAAGAACATACACATCATAGTAAAAATTGTGTTCAAATCAAATGAATATATTTTTACGTGATGCAGTGAGTAATAGTAATATTTTAAAAAATATATATATATATTTGATTATATATATGTATATATATATTTTTTTACAATAATTTGTACATTTATTTTTAGGTATCAAACAAATATACTTTGCATCACCATCCATCATTGTTTGGCTTCTTCCTTGCCTCAAAACCTTTTTGTCATGGGAATTTTCACACCCCGCCCCACCCCTCAGTGTTTGTAATATATTACTCTCTCCATTCCATAACAAAGTATTCATTTTTTCATTTTAGTCCGTCCCGTAACAAAGTATCAATTTCTTAACATTACAAATACCTTTACAACTTACAAAATATCATTACTTTTATATCACACATACTAATAAGGTTATTTTAGTAATTTTTATTTTATTTATATTATATCTTAATATAATACTAATATTTATAAAGTTACGTATTATTATTTATTTATTGTGTGATTTTGGTGACAAGACAGAGACAAGATGAGGGGGGACATAAGGAGGACAGATTTCAAAAAATTTATTTTTCATCAGAGATTAAATCATTTTTCACTCTCATCCGAAAGTATCTCTATGTATATGTATGTATGAATGTATTAATGATTGTATCTCTATCTATAAGCATGCATGCATGCGTACGTGCTCTGCTCTGTGTATAGATTTGAAAAGAAGCTGAAAATGTTTTGGCCCACCATATATACTCCCATCCCATTATATACAAAATATATATACATATGTTCATACATGTCCAGTCCGGACAGACAGACAGACAGACAGACAGAAGAGGTCATAAATTGGTTTTGCCTCTTTCCTGAATTTGTCTCACTCTCACTCTTCTGGTTGATTGAGAACAATTAGTTGTTTTCAAAATGCTTTGATTCTTATTACTCAAGTGCACTCAAGATCGATGATTTAGGTTTACAAACGAAAAAGTTATGAAATACCAAAGGGTCCATTCCATGAGTAAAGTAAAGAAATAACCTTGGAAGTTCAGTTGTACTTGTACCCTTTATGAATGGTCCATAGATTACACAATAAAAATGCATTTCACAGCTCGAGGTGAGGTTTATCAAAGAGTGGTAATAAACCAAGCAAGTATAATTATGGTAGCAAAAGCGCCAAGTTAATCAAGACTTGGATAACGGATATAAGACTGTAACAAAAAACCAAATGTCAGTAGAGAAGCTCCAAGTTCATCAAAACTTGAGATACCCTAAAAAAAATCGGTAAAATTAAACTCTTAAAACCTAAGAAAATTAACTGCTTTTGAATATATTTTATATTTTTTTAGACTAAATATATGAAAATTAGTAGTTTAGAAATTGAGAGTAAAAAAGAATAAGTAGAAAAGATATTTATAATTTATTTAAAGATTAAATATTTAATATTAATATATAATTATTTTTTCAATAATAAGGCAAATATATTTTTTAATGATAGAAAAATTCTTTAATTTGAGAGATTATATTGTTATTGCGTAGATTTTGATTGTAGATATAAAAACATATTTATTTTCGTCTATTGTAAAAGTATATATTTATTTTTATTGCTGAGTTTTTTAAAAAATAGTATTTTAATTATAAATAATGTAAAAATAATATTGTTTTTATTTTCTTTTTATGTAAAAATAAATGATAAAAGTGGAAAATTTGTAGGAAAAAAAAAGGATCTATAATTAGTAAAAAAATAATTATTTTATAATTAGATATTTTAAAATAAAAATATGTATATTTGTAGGTGAACAAATAAAATAATTTATGATAACAATGTACTATCATGTTTCCAACAAAAATCCCAAAGGTTGCCATTATGGAAATAACGGGTTGGATATCTCATACTCTTTTTTTCATTATACTTTGATTTTGTGAATAATCACAATAACTGGGCAAAATTTATAGAGAAAAAAGTATTTTTATTATTACAAAATATTATTTAGAATAAAATATTATTTCATTTGAGATAATTTATTACGATATTTTTAAATTTGGATAAAATAGAAGCTTCGTTAAATTTAAATGGCTAAATTGCACAAAATTCACCCGTGATTTCACGAAATTGCGTCAAATCCTACTTTTAAAACTATATCAAACTCTCTTGTGGTTTCATAAACTCTATATCTAACCCCCTCGACGATTCTTATTTAAGGGTATTTGATCTAAATGCGACTGCAAATAAATTTTAAAATCTCAATTTCTTAACCTAGTATATTTATTTTTCTTAAGCCTAAAAAAATAGTAAATATACTCAAAATAGTTTTTTTTCTCGGGTTTATTTTTATTGGATTCTAAAATTTGTTCGCTGCGCATTTAGGTCAAATACCATTAAATAAGGACCGCCGAGGAGTTAGACGCAGAGTTTATGAAATCACAAGAGAGTTTGACGCAGTTTTAAAAATACGAGGAATTTGATGCAATTTCGTAAAATTACGAGTGGATTTGGTGCAATTTAGCCCCCTTAAATTTGATAGGAAATAATATATATATATATATATATTTAATCAGCAATTTATTTTTATTTTTCTTTCCTTACTACTTTCTTCCTTTTTCTTTTTTCCTTCTTGTTTTGTTCATATGTTTTCTTGGCTTTTTCCTAAAGTGCTCGCCTCATAAGTTTCATATTCTATTGTTCTTGCATTAAGTTTTATGTTTTCTCATTAGTTTCTTGATAAAGTTTCTTGTTCTTGCTTTTTAACTCCCCAAGAACTTCGAAAGGCCTTTTTACCTTTAGAACAAATTCATGCCATTTGATCTAAAGATGACAAAAGGCTAAACCAAGTGGGAGCTAAGGCAAAAGTTCCATAATATAGTCTACTCATTGATTGCTTTATAGACAATACTAAGAATCCACACCTCAAAATCTTGACTATACAAGACCATACAACTTGAGCTTTTGGACATATTCCTATGAACTCACACAAAAGGCAATAAAGAAGAATCGAAAAGCATATGAAATGGAAATGGGGTACTAACCGGGCTCCTATAAAGCCGAGAGAAGCTTTCTTCGAATCCGTGTTGTGCATTTAAGTTGCTCCTCATTCTCTACTGCAAAATCATCACTAAAATCCAAGAAAACTTGCTGTGATGATGAGAAATCATGCGAAAACCTCATGGGTGATTAACCAATCAAAACCCCCAAGCCAATTATCACCACGGAATTCGATAGATAACAATTCAGCAGAATGTCGAAGAGATTTAATAACCCAAGTTCATTACAAAGATAGGAGATTACACATTCGAGTCTTTAAAGATGGTAATATAACGCCATATGTTTCGATCTAAAAAGCAGAAGATTAATAAGATCTGCACCACTAAGCATACCAAATGTAAAAGACAATCATAGGAGGTAGTATGAAAACCCTGTCTTAGGATCTAGACAACCGAATTCAAAGTAAATTGCAAAATGACCACATGACCAGCTCCTCTCTTTGTTTAGATAGACTCCTTAGTGGGGGGATTCAATATACTTACTGCCAATTCAACGCTACAAAAAGGTAACCAGCAGTGAGATTCGAGCAATTAGATACAATTCCGAGGTTACCTCACCCTATGCACATCTGTAATGATAACCTCATCAATTTGCCGGATCGTTCTGCAATTCCATGTCATCTTTTTCAGCTCCAACTTCTTCCATCTTTAGATCTCTTACGACATCTTCAGATGACTCCATATCTGCATTATTTTCTGCCTCCACTTCCAGATCCCGGGGCTTGCCCTCATCATCATTACCCTCTTCCCTGTCGTCACTGATCTTATAACCATTTTCGCCTGCGCCTGCGCCTTCACCTTCAACATCTGTATCTTTAGTATTTGTGACAACACCAACTTCTGTGTTCTTATGATCTTCGTCACCAACAACTTCTTCTCCTTCTTTGGCATAAGATCTAACAATCAACGAATCATTGTTATCTTCTCTCGGCTCAAAACCACAGGCGATACTTTTATCCACTGGCGCATAAAACCCTTCAGCATAAACCCCACCTTCACCATGTTCTTTGGAAAGCTCATTAGCCTTAACAATATTATCATCGTTCAATTCATTCTCCTCCATGAAATGAGTTCCCTCGCCACGACTTCCACTGTCGTTTTCAGAGTCATTTTCCACTACTTCCTCATTAAACTCCTCCCCTTTGTTTTCCATCCTCTCCAAATGTTGCATCCTCCTCCGCAAATCCGCGAGCTCCCTTTCCATCAAGAACAACCTTTCCTTCAAAATCAAATTTTCCTCCTCTAAATGAGCAATATGTGTATCCTGATCATCGACCCGGTTTTCCAACACATTCTGATACTCCGCCCCGCCAAAGTTGTTTGGATCGTATATCATCTCAAACCGGCTCAAATCATGATCCAACCTCCTCTCAACCTCAACATGCTCCTCCACATCACTCTCGCTCGAACCTCCATCTTCTTCCTCCTCATCCTCATTAACTTCTAATTCATGCCCCGGCGACCTCAACCGGATAAGCCCTTTCATTGATCCATATCCGTCGACACCCCATTCCTCTTTCGCCGCATCAACCAGAACCTCTCTAGAGGGCGAAAATATAGGAGTAGGTAAAACAGCCGGCGTCATCGGAGAAGGCGAAACCAAGGATGCAATACCTCCACTCTTCTTTGCTCTTATTAAATAGGAAGTTGTGTTCCTTGGAGCAAAGGGAGCAGATCTGCTACTGTTATTATTATTATTATTATTGTTATAATAATAATTGTTAGTATTTGCACCCATGTTCATATTGGTGTTCTTATTGAATTTCTTCTTGGGGAAGAACTTCCTCGTCTTCAACCGATTCTGTTGCTGCAATTCATTCAGAGTCGGTGGTTGATAGTTATTGAAGTTCAAGTTTCCTACAGAACCACCGCCGACTGCGTTAACGCCGCCGACAATACCACCGGAGCTAGAGGCGGACATCAGGAATTTCGGCTGCTGTTCATTCCTTCTCCTATCGTTCAACTTATTATGCACCTTTTTGCCCTTCCAGTTGTTCCTCGGACCCAAGGATTTCTTAAAACCAGAGGTCGGAGGTTTCATGGCGGCAGGATTGGGGTTCTGGAATTGAGGCTGTGACTGTGGCTGCGGCCACATGTTGTAGCCCCGATTCATGGCGACCATCTGCGAACCATGATTTATCAGACTACCAAAGCCGGAGGAAACAAACGGCGAAAGATTACAGAAATTATTCCGAGCAAGATCGATTACCTGTGCCTGAGACTGCGAAGTGATTTGACTGGAATTCATCATGTTCTGATTCAAGTTCATCAACTGCTGCTGCTGCTGCTGCTGTTGCTGTTGATTCATCATTATTGTCTGATGCTCGTTCATTAAAAATAAAATAAAAATATCACACTCAGCAATAAAAACAAGGATTATTTGACAGAGAGAAATGAAATCAAAGAAGCTCGAGTGATGAAACCCTAGAAATAGATAAATCTAAGAATTCCCCTCTCCTAATTTCTTCCACCAAACTTCAGGGGTTCCTATTCGAAACGTATTAAAGAACCCCCAAAAGATTCAAACCCCAAACCCTCGGGAAACACGAATCAGAGATAAATCGAGATTTATTTCCACGAAATTGCGATTCGAGATCAAGAACAATGCAAGACTGCGGAAATTTTACTCAAATTTCCTGATTTCGATTTCCACTTTACAGATTCTCTCCCAAAATCCACAGAATTCCCCAACCCTCGTTATTCGAATTTCAAGATTGTTCCACTTCGCAAACGCGTGGAGGCGACAGAATGAGGGGTGGGGGGCAATATATAGGGGAGGAGGGGAAACAACCAACGGTGCAGATCTCATCAGGATATTCCAACGGCTGAGATTAAATACACGCGTCGCACGAGTGTGGGCTTCGTGAGTGGTATGGAATATGACCTCAGATTCGCGCAAAATTACCGCCTCACCCAAAACGACACCGTATCGCGCTCTTTGTATGCGTCACGTGCTTTACGTGATGGACCCATTTCATTCAATCTTGACTGTATGTATGTATCATTCTAATGACACACCAAAAACCCTAATAAAGCAAAAAAAAAAAAAAAATACAAAACAAACAAATCACCAATAAAAACAAGAATAATCGGTATATAAAGAATGACTTCATAGGGGCTTAAGATTATGAGTTTAAATTTGACTTCTCTAGTTATGTTTGTATACAAAACTTGTCTAATGTAAATTATTACTCCCTCCGTCTCAATACAATAATCGTTCTAAAACAATAGTCTCATTTCCATAAATAATCATATCACTATAAAATTATTTTTACTTTTTCATTATTATTACACAATTGCCACTACTTTTTTATACTAATACACTCACAAGAGCAAAAAAAATTTTTTACCTGTACTTTTTACCCACTATCAATATAATATCAATATTTCTTAAATTTGGTGCCAAACACCACCCAAACTATAGTTATGAGACGGATGGAGTATAATATTTCATAACAAACTGACAACGACAATGAAAATTATAAAAACAATTTTTTGTTGGATTTTAATGACAAATGATAAGTTCATCGAAGCTAAACCTTTCTCAATTGTTGAAACTAATATTAGCATTTTAGATAATATTTTTTTTACTTTTTATAAGAGAAAAAAATATATTATTTCAAATGAAATATTCATACTTTTCAGACTTAGATTTTTTTATTTTTTTGGTTTATAGAGCAAACAATAATTTAACTATGCTAATTATATTGTATTCAATTGAGACCAATACTTCTTCATAAATATTTTTATATTACAATTTAAAATTTGCGGATATTTTTTTTTATTTTTATGTATTTGACATGATATGAATATTTGTATATGAAATTGATATACTTATTGTCTAACAATATTTGCACAATTTATTACAATATATTAATTAGTTTATAATTGTTTTCAAATATACATATATAATTGTTTCAATCTACAATTGCTCTCTAAATCATAAACAAGAAATTATGTAAGCATATATATATATATATATTCAAACTTTGTTTGTTAGATAAATATTTCATTAGTTATACAAATCAAATTAAAACTAAAATCAATATTTTTCTATAAATATCTTGTATTACAATTTAAGAGTTATTTTCGTATTTTTATGGTTATTCATTTTGCATTACTAATTGATCACATTTTCTAAATTGCTGCAACATTATTCCATCGGTGACCATTTATGTTATTAGTAATTTTTTCCATTGTGGACTTGTGGTCATCTATTTTTTATGGTAAGAAAGTGAAGTTATAATATAAAAAATTAGCATTTGTATGTGTAGGTAAAAAGGGAAAAAAAAAAAAAAAAAAAAAAGAATTGATAGAAAAAATTAAATAAAAGCATCATAGAATTTTTAAATGAAATTAGGGTGAGAAAGAAAGATTTGTAAACACAAAGAGTAAAAGACAAGAAATTAATATTTAGAGATGAATAAGAATTTGACTACGGAATTCAATGGAAGTTGTATGAATAAATAATCCCATAAGAAGCGGTCGAATTGATGTAGTATATAAATAGCTTACCCGACTAGCATAATTTATAGGATATTACATTTAAAATATAAGTTTATTTATACCAATTCGATGCTATTTTTTTTTTCTCTTGAATGCAGCAGTGTAAAATATAAAATAATAATAATAATAAAAAAAATCAGACAAGAATAACGTATTTGGAGCCTAATTTTTTTTTTTTTTTTTATCATAACTATATAATTTTATTAAAAAAATTTAAAAATTAGAGCAAATTAATAAAATTAAATAAATTTTATTATTTTTACACAAATATATATATATATAATTTAAAGGGACAAATTATTAAAAATACATAATATTTTTATTATTTAAAGTGATAAAACAAAAAAACCATATTTTGGAAGCTGGAAGAACAGGTACCGCCCTTTGCCCTCATGTAGGTTCGTCGCTGATTGAGTGGAGGTAAACATTAGTATAATATGTTTGATTTTAATTTAAAATTATATTTCATATTTGATTTAAATAATACTCCATACATATTTTTATTTTGGAACGTCCAATTACAAAGTAACCATTTCATATAAATACCCCACTTTTTTCCACAAATACCCTTACTTTACATTACATCGTTACTTTTATATCAAAAAAACAAAGGCAAAAATATCGTTACACTACTTTTATCTACCCACTATAATTAAAATACTATTATTTCTTAAACTTCGGCCAAAAATAAATGTATATTTTGATTTTGATGTTAAAATAATATTTGATAGAATGTTTTGTATATATATTTTTTTTTTCAGAAAAAAACAGAAAATTCAAATAATAAAATTTGAGAAAATTTTTCAAAAGAAACATACCCTAATTTGGATATAAATTACTGGGCCTAAGCCCAATCGAAAAGGCCTTACAAAGCTCATAGCAATACACTTAAAAAGGCACCAAATAATTCAGTGTGTGAATATTAAAAATAAATACAAAAGAATTGCTGCAGCCTCACCAAATAAATACGACAATTAAAAATAAAATAAAAAACCAAAAAATAAAAAACACAGCTGCAGCTAGTACATCTTACGTAGTGAGGAAGATGAAGATGAAGACGATGATGATTCAAATAACAGTTGAGAAGAAGACGTTGGTTCTTCTTACCTCATTACTTAACTACTCATTCACTCTTTGTGCCTGGAGGATCTGTCCTTCCGGTGCCCGCCGAGGATCCGAGAAATCTGAAGGCCTCGACTGAAGGCCTGGTTGAACAGCATCCTCGTCTGGAACTCCGACACAAATGGGAACCAAGCGAGGAAGGCAACCGGCGTGAAGAGGAGCAGCCCCATCACGATCTCGTATCCTCGCGCCAGAGTTCTTACCGAGCCCCAGAACCCGGCTTTGTGCACGATTGGCTTGCACGCTTGAGCGATCTGGACAAAAATATTATGTTAAATGATCGTCTCACCTTAAAGCTTCTTGATTGTAATAAAAGATAGAGATGGATACCAGCAGTAGACCCCAGCCGGTGGGCATGAAGGCGAGTATGCAAACCAAGATATCTCTCGGCGTCATGTGAGCTAACGCGATAAGGATGACGAGGATGGCAACGAACGTGACGAAGATCAAGCCTTTGAAAAGGCGGAAGACCAGCTGGAAGTTCGCGCTAAACTTCCTTCGACCCACGGAGATTGTCTGTGTCGTTGAAGGAAGATAATTTGCTTTCGGATTCAGATTGTGTTTCGAGAAAATGAATTTAGAGAATCGATTATGTCACTCACCTTCATGACGAAAAGTATCAGAAAGATGACGAGCCATGATATGCCGTATACCTGTAATAATTTGTTCCGTTAAAAGCCCGGAAGAAAGGAATTCGAAGGGGAAAGTTATAATTCGAGGGAAAACGTACCAAAACACTTTTCGTCCTCCGAGTCATGTGCAAGTGATAGACGAGACCATACTGATAAATGAAGAATCGTAGCGCCAAAACAATCTCGGCAACAAGGCCTCGTTTCCCGGAATGGCGTAGATGATCCTGCTCCTCCTCCCACCAAGATTCCCAACTTTTCTCGGGAGAAACTCCGATGCCTCCTCTGTTACTGATCCACTTATTCCAGTCGGTCCAATCATCGACTATCTTTTGCCATTCGAAGCCCGAGGGGTTGAAGAGGAAGGGGGCGAAGAGCCAGGTGCCGACCATGAACCACATCGAGACAGTGACTAAGATATATGCAACCACACCTCTGTAGGACTGGCCAAATATTTGGTAGACGAGTAGCAGGATCATGAGCTCGAGCCCCTTGACAAAGTGGCTACGAGAGTAGAGCCGGTAGTTCTCGGCAAACTTGGCATGGAACACGACGAATCCGCGTCCGGTGGGCCTGTATTTTGCACCGCCATGAAGTAGTGTCCGGCCATAATAATGGGTTTTGGTCCCGAGGGAAAAGGTGAAAAACACAGGTGCGAGCTGCAGCTGCATAAGTATGAATTCACTTAACGCAGTCCGGAAACCCTTTTCCAAACCAATCTCCATCATCATAGGAAGAGCCATCAGGAATCCAATTTGAACGAAGGACTGAGAAGCGAGGGCAAATTCGACAGACTTGTTGTCTCGAATTTCTGGTTGTGTACTTAAGCCCTTTTCAAGGCCACTAAGAACAAGGTAAAGGCGACCGTATAGGAAAACGTACACTGTGAGCACAGTAATCTGCGACAAGAAACAGAATTAAGGTTAGATCGATGCATGAGTTAAAGAAGACATTGAGACATGGATGGGCAACGATTTCACGTACCAAGGTACTGGAGTAGAAACCAATGGTGGTGAAAAAGCAGGAAAGCATTCGAAAAAAGTCGAAACGATGCCCCAGCCTGTATAGATCACGACTCAATGTCTGTTCCCCATTTCCATTAGCAATTTTGGCCTCAAATAGAGAAATCTGGTTAAGACCCACATCCCTCCCTTTACCGACTTGTATGTACTCATGATGAGTTACATTGCCTTCACGGAGTGTAGAATTAAAGCCTGCCACAAGTTGCATCGGGCATGAGCATATACATATGCATACGACCAGCAAAGAGTATCTAAACTCAGTAAACATCAATATTATGACGCATGATCCTACCGGCAAAGATGTCCTCGCTCAGGTTGATAATCTTGGAGGCTTTGCTCACCCCACCTCTTGTTAGGTGGAACAGTCTATCAAAAACATCTGGATGACCATAGTGAAACCGAACCCTGGAGAAGATAAAGGAAAGAAAGCAAGTGAAACAGGATTAATTAACTCGGAATTTAAAAAGTGAAACAAGAAAACAAATTGAAAGTTGTCAGACCATCAAAACAAATTCGGATAAAAGCTAACAAGAGGAGACAAAACTTACTTGAGAGGGTTTGCAAGTAATCTCTGGCCAATAGTAACAAAACTTGTCTCTTGATTAGACATAAACCAAGCAAGAGAAGAAACACTGCATTGTTAGGCGAAAGAAATTTAGAAGTGATGAAGATAAAAAAAGTCAAGCAAATTTTAAAGTGATGAAGATAGGAAATTCGAATGGTGGTAGATGATGCGCTGACCTTCCAGTGAAAATATGCTCCCTCAGCCCAAGAATAGATGGGTGCCTCACATCATGCCGTTTAAGAAATTCTTGAAGCAAGTTTCTCATCTTTAGAGCTTCTTCCATGTAATTATCCTAAAATATATCTACAAGTCAGCACTATACTCAAAAGATGATTCTCAAAGCAATATAAGAAAACATAATACCTGATTCATATCAATTGTTTGTAAGCCTTCTCCACGTGTGAAAATAATGGCATGATTTTGATTTTCAGGCTTTCCTTCCCCCAATATAGCAGGGCCTGGTAGTTTTATTCGATAGATGATCTGCAAATAGAATTCCACCAGCAATAGAAAAAGTAGGACACAAAGATATAACTAAATCAACTACTGCCTCGACCATAGATTTGAAAACCATAATCTGTTGAATCAGAAAAGGCAAAGGATCACACTTTCATATACGACCCATCTGTAGGTCTTCCATTAATTTACCTGATCCAGATTTTGCCCTGGTTCTGAAGAATTTGACTTTGGCAAAGCAGCCTTCACTAGTGTAGAGTAGTACACCTTATCGTTAACTTTCTTGGTTCGGTCTTTACTTGGTTCTTCAACCTCATCAATATATGCTACTCGAAGCGACGGATACCTGATGAGAGAAATGTAAGAACAGGAAATGATTGCAATGAAACATCATGACAAGTTACAAGTCGTACGTTGTCATAAGTCTCAATATAGCTTGTGCACGAGCATCTCCGGATCGCTTTTGTATACCATACAGCTGGCAAGAGACCACATATGTAAACTTCATATCAGCTACAGCTTGGCATTGTGTCCACAGTGACCTCTCTCCTTGAATCTGATCCTCGTTTAACTCAACAGCTTTATACCCCTCCATTAGAGCTGTTTAAAATTGAAAAGCACTGTTCTCATTATATGTACTTTTACAAAGTATGAAAGTGCCTTTAATTCAAGTGGACTGATCAGTACCGTCATCCTTCGCCATATCAAGGAATGCTTGGAGTTCTAGAGCCTTGCGATAATACATCATTCCTCTAACTGTCACAATTTACGAACAAACAAACAAAAAGCCCATTTAGAGCCATAAGCATGAGGTTACATAGCAATTATAGCCCAATCAATCCCAAAGTGTCAGCATAGCAAAAACCATAGCAAGGAAAACTTTTAAGAAGAAAGATACTTATGGGTTTCTTTTTATCCACCGTACCAGTTCTGGTCAATGTTTGACCCCTGTATGATGCCCAGAGACGTAGCTGTTCTTCTGTTTCATCAGAGCCCCTAAGTTCTTCCTCGTTGGTACACTTAACCCGCTCCAGAAAATTGTTCCATTCATCTGCATATTGTTAATATAAGAATGTTGGCAGAGGCTTAAACATGCATGAGATGATAACAAGTCAATTACAAACCTGGGAAAATTTTCTGTAGGTAGAAGAGAATAGAAACACCATCTTCATTTGGAACTTCTAGCTCAGGCAATGAGAAGAGAACTTCTTCCGTGTAATACGGAGTCAAAACACTATATGAACAAACTTTGAGTGAGTTTTAATCCCAAGCAGAAAAACGCAACAAAATTCTGAGATTAACAATATCCCACACATCACCATACAATTAATGGCATAGGCCATAGTAACTAAGATATGGAAACCTTTTCCCTATAAATTACAAGTTTTCAAATGGGACAAAATATGAAATCTGCAGTAGCATATTGACTTAACACGGCATGGCATTGTACGTGCTGAAATGACACGCATGTTTTATAAAGAAAAACACTTACGAGAAAGAGAGCATATTGCGGACTTTAGGAGCCGAAGGCATGTCCATAAACAAGGAATTAGAGAAGAAAGATATACGCCTCCTGGCTTCCAAGTTTGATGGAACATCCATAGCAGATTCCTTCACAGTCAGCAACAGGTACAACCTCTTGATCTGCCACAAAGGATGGAAATGAAATGTTACACATAGCTCTAAAAAGTTGAATCAGCAGACCACACCCAACCAATACCTTCTCTTTCCATGCTTCTGATTCAGGAGTGGGGAATTTGATAGCACCAGCTGAAGCAAATAACTGATACTGTTGATCAAGAGGAGCCATTCCTTCATGGCCCGTTCCATGAACTGAATCTGTCAAGCTATTCAGAGAAGATAGAAACAAAATCAAGATCACTCCATCCAGTGCCTGACAAAGAACACTTGAAAGATGAAAGAAACATTACATGGATATATCATTTTCCATTATATCTTGGGTTACAACTTCAAGCATATCTTGGAAGAGGATAACAACTTGATCCCTGTCCTCTGGCTTATTATCTAGCTGCAAAATATTGCCAAATTGAAAATAATTTTAGTTAACAAATCCAGAGAACAAAATGATCTCTCAAGAGAAGAGAGAAAGAGACAAAGAGATGTGTGTGTGTGCGTATATATGTATATATATATTAGCAGTACCAGCAATTAAAACTTAAAATCACCTACCAAGTATTTGACAAGCCTAACAAAGAGATCGTACAGACTTGGAAGCTCACTCAGCCTATATTCAGTTGATAGATCATCTTTCTCTATATGCTCATCAACTTCTTTAAACAAGTGCTCAATAACCCTGAAACGGATAAGAGGATTAGGTTTAGAATAGTACAAAGACAAATGGCCGACACCTCAAACTGCATTCAACAGATGCATACTGTTTCTCGCGATCACCATGAACCAAAAATTTGACAATGTTGCGAAATGATGCATAACACTCGCGGACGGCAGAGTACATGTAATCATCACTTCTAATCCGCTTGTTCAGTTCACTATCCTTGCCATTGCTGTCTTTAGCCATATCCACTGCTATTGGGATCTATTTGACCCAATTTCAAAGGAATGGGTGGGGAGAAAAACATACGTGTTAAAGCCAAAGATATTTTGAATAAACATAATTATGTAACTAGTCACATTACCAATTCAGTGATGAGAAAAAATAAACTAATAAACATATTTCTAGTTGTCGCTGATTATTACATATATACCACAATTTCACAACCTTAAATAATCAAAGAGTCCTCATCATGGTGCTTTCAGCTAATAACATATTAAAGGAAAACAAATCACGCATTATATGAGAATGATCTTAAACATGTGTTAACTAATAGTTCCACATGATATCATTAGCCCATCTCATTTCTTCACCACTGAGGAAAAAAAAAACCGCAGGTGTAAGCCATAAAATGGAGGTGACAGCAAAATTGTCCAGTAAACGGAGATAATAGGGAAACACATCCACAAATTATGCCAGAGAAAGATCTAATTGTAAAGGGGAAACCTTGCTGGCAAGCAAAAAAGGAGGCCATTGCATTAGCTCCACCATATCACGATCTGCCCAATATGGAACAAGAAGCAAATCCATTTCCCTGACACCAGATTCAACTTGAGCAATCAAAAGAATATAAAAGTATTCATTTTATTTTCTTTGCACAGGACTTAACATGAAATAATTAACAAACCAACAATGATTGATATTCAGATTTCAGATTGAGAATCACCTGTTACTTATGAGATCCTCCTCTCTAAAACTTGTAATTATTTTGTTCCACAATTGAGCAAACCTTGCAGCTTCTTTTTCCTTGCTTGATGGAATCTACATTATATACACAATTACAAAGGAATTTCAGTCAAGTTCATGCACTACACTTGATGTTAGTAAAAATCAAATGATAAAGATATTGAACAGATATGCACTACCACTTCAAACTTGCGGGAGAAGGTGGCCTTAAGTCCTTTCTTTTTAGTTGGCTCAGTTTTGTCCTCTGGAATCAAACAGGCATTAAAAGCACCAGGTAATGACCGGAAGCGGGATCTGAGCATTCCCAATGTTCGAATCTGAAACAAAAGATGAATTGTGTAAAGCCCAAAAGTGAATTACTACTTTCAGCTTTAAACTACAAGCCATGCCAACCATCAACCTCGAATGAGCATCTTGAATAATCTGCTAACTGAGATACATGCATCAATCCTTTCTTTCGTTGTTTTCAATTGTTTCTGCTAGAATCTATTCTCTAGTGTTAGGTCTTTGTTTCACTATAATGCTTCAGTTAAATCAAACAAAACCATGAGTTTTCCTCTATCAAAATCAATGTTAAAATGATAGTTGGAAGTTTTTTAGATGTAACAAGAATAAATCCAGGATCTGATATGGATTACTGGATTTTATAAGATATTTTCAATGGAAACAAATTTGAACTCGGATTAAGATCTGTTAGCATTAATCTATTTTGAGAGTATCCAAAAACTAAATGACATGTAGTGATGTATCATTTCTACTATAACACACTTTCTAAGTGTATCTACTACTTTAGGTTCATGGGAAAAATCCGATAACTCTAACAGCAACATCACTTTTGAAAGTCCATACAATAATGACCCCCTAACAAATAGTTTTGATATATATTATATTAATGATTAAATGATAAGAGATAGACTGCATTTAAGTTAATTTAACAAGAGTCCAAGACAAACGATAAGAGATAGACTGCATTTAAGTTAATGTATCACGAGTCCGAGACAAATGAACTCTTGAACCATTCACACTAACAATAATTCTCACTTAATGAGGTGGAATGTAACATATTTCTGTGCTGTCCTTTAAACCAAAAAGATTTGATCGATGGATTGTACTAGAAATCAAGGTTAATATCACAGCAGAGAAATTTACCAACCTCTCCAAGTCGTCGAAATGCACCATATATACCTCCAAATAGTGTAGAGAAAATGGCATACCAGATCTGTGCATCCATGAAATAAACCTGAAAATGGTAATTAGATGAATGTTGGTTATCTGAAGAGGAAAAAGAAATGCCAAGTATAAGAGAGATATTGGAAGTAAGATGTTCTACATAAATCAAAGTAGAATTCATACAAGAATAACAGGAGCCCAAAGTGCAATTACGACACCTATGTTGTTTCTGGCTGCAAAGATAAATATGTATAATCAATTGGTAAGCAATATACATCAATAGTTCCAAATTCTTGGTGTATGCAGAAATGGGAGAAATAACTTTGCCTAAGCTTACAATCTCATTGCCTACCTTGGGGAAAAAACTCATGCCACTGGTAAGTGGTTATATGAACCTCCATGACGGCATTTGTTGGACCCACAAGAGGCCTTATCTGCAATGCGAATATTTGATGATAGGTGATGTATTGTATCATAACAGAGATGGCTTAAATCAACACAGCAAGACACCCCATCAAATCATAGTAAATCCAAGACCAAACAAACTCCCACTAAAAATAAAATGCATGTTTGTTATAATAAAGTTATAAACACAATGGCTAGTAGATACCTCAATATAAAAACTGAACGCCAACTTGGTAACCATAAGGAGCACCCAGAATAATGTGTACCTGAGAAAATAAAAAGAAAATTAATATCAAATAAGATGGTCTATATAATAAGTTAATAACCAAATAAGAGCAAGCCTTACTTAAAGAGAGAAAATGTGCTTTCATGCATTCCCCTTCCAACATAAAGTTGAGGCTGTAAGAATGTATAAAAGAAATAGGTAAAGATCATTAGTAAGCTCTAAGTGATATGTCAAAAATGCTGCCAGAAAATTTTGATGCATACCTGAGACCACCACATCATTAGCATCACAATCTTATAGTTGGAACTTTCAAGGAACCGGCGAACAGTGGGAAAAAGGAAAAGGAAGGCAGCAAGCATGTTTGGGGACAAGTAGATAACAACAGCCAAGATAAACAATGAAGGAGCACTTGAATTACTGCCAAACCAACTTTTGATTGTTTGTGCAAATCCAGGAGGATGTTCCCATGTATATGCATAGGTAACAGGGAGGATCACTACCCATGCAGCAGCAGACACAACCTTCAAAATATATCGCAATTTGACATAGAAAGACATGCTCCGTCTAGCTTTCCAGCTCAGAATTACATCAAGTACAGCTGCAGTAAATAAGCATATCCATATCAAAAGGATATAATGAAACAATCTTTCACAATGATTCAAAATAAAGATGCAGCAACCAACACATATGATAAAATCGTTCTCATTAGCATGAATTTTTTTTCAATGATCCATATTTAAATTTACCCATGTTCACACTCCAAAATTTATCCAATTCATTTTGGAATCCAACTATGTTGAAGCTACATGGCTTCCCTTGGAAGAAAAAAAATGATTATAGGACCAAAATCTGTTATTTAATTAACAGATGGTATTCACCATTTGTCACAACATAATAAAAACATGTATAGTCAATAGCTAGAACAAATACAATAAACCAAGACAGATATTGGTTTACCTTGTCCAAGTTTCAATATTGCAGCCGTTATAAAGATGCTTAGTACTTTCATGAACACTTCAGAATCAAAAATAGAACTTGGTTGCCCGCCATTCCAAGCAAGAATAATCATAGCCTAGACAAATGACAGTGTTGCAACAATAAGTTAATGAATAATGCAAATGAAGGACAATGTCACAGGAAAATTTTTAGAATTCCACATGTTCATACCTGCAAGCACAATATAAAGAAGCTCCACATCCTGTCAAAGCTTCTAAAGATATGCCAATATGATCGAATCTCTACAAAATTAGCTTTCCCCACCCATCGGTCTCTCGTGGGTTTCCTTTCCTAAATATCAAATATCACAAGAAAATCTCAGTCTTGAGATACATTGGAGATTTTTCTTCAAATGCTGGCAAAAGATGATATACATATAAATATATATGTATAATTTCTACATAATTAATGACTGATGTTGGGTTCTTAAAATCCTAACAACACTAAGATGGGAATGGAGGCTCCACTTGTAAAATTTTGTAAACAGATGAACAGAGCAGGTTCATGTCTAGGTGTAGTAGTAGATCAAATAATATAATTCTAAACTCAGGAACATGATCATATGGGTATAAATTACATGATCATATGGGTATAAATTTTGATAAAATAAAAGAAAATTCTGTCTAAGTACAGGGCAACTTGCCTCCCAGCAGGAACAAAATCAAAAGTTTGAGGATAATCAATCCTTAGGAGGGGAAGGAAAAGAAGGTAAGCTTATTAATATTTATATTAGCAAGCCTCGAATATGGTACACTACCACACATACAATCTAAGTACATTCTAAGCCGGCAAGGCAAGTCACACCAGGTGAATATGTATGGCAGGCCAGACCAAATGGCGTCAAGAGGATTTGAACTCGTGACCTCACGGTCACAGATCCAACCCTAACACCACTAGGCTTGTGAAAGGCAAATAAGAGAGATAGATTCAAAAGACAAATTGAAAACAATACTCAATCACTGCAGCCATTTGAACTACCAAACTATGTCACACATTGCAAAATCAAATATCTAGGAAAGATCTTTACCCCATTCTTTTCATTATCAAGTTCATTTACTGTCCTACAGAAAAAGTCAGCATCTGCACGCATGGGCCAACCTAATCGAAAACAGTCTACAGACCTGCACATTTACTAGAAAAATTAGTACCAAGTGTTTAAACATAAGTCTGCTTATCCAGACAGTAAAAGAATATATTACCAGAAGTACTCATTCAAATCATCATAATTTCTCCACTGCGAGTGTTTTGATTTTGCTATTTTGCTTCTTGCAGCTTCCTGGTCAAAAAGTGAATCATGAGAATACAGGGGAAAATTATTGATTCAATAATGATAATGCAGGGAAAATGTACATAAACAAAATAATCTCAATTACACATTCTACAGTTTATACCCGAGCTATCACTTCATAAATTGGTGTGACAACTTTTTTTAAGAACGCCTCTTCCTCTCCTCCATAAGCAGGCTTCACATTTTCACCAGTCATCGGACTAACATTTCCAGCAAGCATACCATAAAGTTCAAAAGCCATCTTACAAGGAAAGAAAAAAGGTTCATAAGGTTAATGGGTGAAGAAAACAAATGAAATAAAAAATAACCAAATCATGGTTATGTCACCATTAAATTGAAGAAAAGCACATAGCTCCCCAATGGCGGGGAAAAAAATTTCACGTGGGTAACTTAAGAAACTAAGAGCAACAAAGATGAAAAAACATAAAAAAAAAAAAAAAAAAAATGTTTTCACAATAGGTATAAGAATATACAAATGCTGAAAAAATCAACCATATGTTATTCATGTATGTGTGTGATTGGCACAATTATATAACATTTCGACCTTCAGGTTGCAACAAAAGTGTCCGCTAAAAATGCCTTCTTAAAGTATAAAATTAAAAGCCAAAAGTAAAGACACTCCGGTAAGCCCAGTTTGTCTCATCCATAATTATTTTTCATCACTTTTTAACATAGAAAGTAAGCAACTGAGCATACATGATGGTAGATATAGCAAAGACACTCTGGCATGAATCTTAAATTTGCAGCTTCTCCCCATATCAGAAGATACAGGCCCATATATAATAATTTCCTCTGTTGCACCTCCTGTTGTATGGTGGGTAGCCTGAAAATAGGATAGGCGCAAACTCACTAACTTGAGTAGGTCAAACATGACTATAAAATTTGATTCAAAGATATCAAAAGCAATCAAAATCACAGGTTATAATAGCTGATTCTCTTTTTTCCAATAGCAATCATACATTAGAAAAGTATGGCCAGCTATATTTGGGACTTCGGAGAAGAGCACATTGATAATAATGAAACCCACACCAACATGTAGAAAAATATAAACTTACAAAGAGCAGAACAACATTATCAAAACTGACAACTTTTGAAATGAGGGACGTACCAAAGGCTACTTTTGCGATCCAAATACTTGCACCACTTCTTGTAGTTTTTGAAAAGCTTTTTCATCACTTCATCTATAGCACGTTCATCCAACTAGAAACATATAATCATAGATTATTATTCAAAAAAGATGCAAACCTGCAGTACTTCATAACATTAAATCATAGAAGATGGTGTCGGATGGAAAACCTTGGGTTGCTGATCAGGCTTTGGAAATTGTCTTATGTGTACATTAGCAAGTAGCAAAATCAAATGCTCTCTCTGATTTGCCACACTATCTTTCTGCAGATAGTTCAACAAGCAATTTCACAGTATGAAATACAGAAAAAAGATCACAAATAGGAAACAAGTTGTTATTCTTTTGCATCGGATACATGAAAGATGTCACGCTACTTCACCTGAAAGCCAAACATAGCTTGCAGCCAGTCTAGAATATCTTCATCTTTCTTCTTCTTGTAATCCTTCGGCCAAGGAAGACCCCTAGTATTCCGAAGTGCATGTACAGCAGCTTGAATCTAAATATGATGATAATGTCAAGCAACACAAGATTATGAAATAATAAAATGCAGAACATAAATAAATAACATAAAGTGAGACTTTCAAACAGACCTCTGGATACGTCATGATTGCCTGGTTTGCACTGTCAGGATCTAGAGGAAGAATATTATAGGGTACATAAATTTCAGTCTTCTCAGCAACTTTATCATGAGTTTCCAGAATCTGTCACCACGATGCAATGAGGTGTAAAAGATTACATGCAATGTGGTATCCACACAAGGCTTAGAATTATTGAGTCATGGTGTGAAAGGTAGGGGAAAAAATGTCACTCACGAAAGAGTAAGGTGTTTTACCTCACGGTCAACTTCCACGGACTGCGTCTGGTTAACTGCTTTCAAAACCTCAAAGAGAACATTAGCCGTTTGGTATGCTTTTGTCAGCTGTGCACTGAAATTTAAAAAAGTTGAGTAGTAAAACAGCAGATATTAAACCATTTAATAATATTCTGCAAGTTACATTAATCATATGATAATAGTTCCTTCATAAATTTAATGCATACTTACCGATCTGCTTTGTCAGCTGCACTTTGCAAAGCTTGAATATACTTTTTATAGTAATGCTGATAGAAACTCTGCATCTCACGGGCATCACTTTTTTTCACTCTTCCCATTAACGTTGGATCATTTTCCTGAAATCACCACAGCATTCACAGAAAATAAAAATATAACTAAATAATTGGAAAACTAAGCAACCAAAACAACTGACAAGATGCTTATAAAAAATAGTAATGACAAAATGTTGCTGGAGGAAGCCACAACTACTCAGAAGTTCCAATTATAATTTTCTACTTATGATATGGAGCTGGTAAATGGAATTTTCAACACAAAGCAATTCATTCAATTGCAACAAAAATCTACTCGTATTTACCCTTTCAAGACGCTGCAATAGAGCTGTTTTAAACTGACGAACACCTCGTCCACTTGAAGTGGGATCCAACCTATGAGCTTTCTCAAATGCATAAAACCGACCTGTATACACAATACAGACATTGATATTTGAGAATTTTACGAGTTTTTGGAAAATAGAAAATATATATATATATATATAATAAAAAAGGATTAGTGAGAAATGCAGTAAGGATGCTAAGAATTGGGCTCTTAAAACAAGCAATGCAATGACATACCATTAATACAATAACATATGGGTTACTGAAAATAACACAAAAAACAACCATAGAGAGTAGCATGATAGCCATTAGATATGTCTAAACACCTTACTATTTATTTTCATTTTTTTCTCATGAAAAGACCCAAAGCGTCATTGATGGAAGAATCATTATTGTCGGATTCACGTATGCTGGAACGTGTTCTGCTGTTTTATGTAATGAACTCGAAGAAATTCTACAATTATATAGAACCAAAGGTAGAAATTGTTCCATTGTTTTCTATGACAAGCACAAAATATCTACATTGGTGTACAACCAAAGTAAAATTGTAGAGTCACATAAATTCTACATTTGCTGAGACATAGGGGTCTTACAGAGATATGCCACTCGAGGATTAGCAGGCTCGACTTCATTGGCCACACGAAGGATGGGGGCAATTTCAACCAGAGAAGAAGGCACTACTTCACTGTCAAAAATAGACTCCCCAAGATTCCCCGCCGTTTGGGTGCGAGTTAACTGAGGAGTCTGGTGACCCCGTCGCGAAGCCATTATCATTTACTCTCCCTCTTTAACAACACGGTATAACAAAAGGTGCCTCTGCACAAATGAAATTAAACTGAATTACAGCCTTCATCCACTCTGTGAGTATACACACAGATCAACAAGATAGTGCAATTTCAACACAAATAAAAACAAAGGCAAAACTAGAAAATATCATCCTGAAATAGAATATACGGAAAAACAGAAGATCAAACGAAATTGGAACAGCTAAATTTATTTTTGAACTCAGAAACCACAAATTAAACCAAAAATTGGCAGCGGAAAATCATAGGAAAATCTGAAATTACAAAAATTGGCGTAAGGTCACTATCATCTTATCAATCAAAACAAAGTTAAATCTAGAAAATACCATCCTGAAATGGAATATATGGAACAACAGAAGATCAAACGGAATTGGATCAGCTAAATTCATTTTTTAACTCAGAAACCACTAATTAAACCAAAAATTGGCATTGGAAAATCATAGGAAAATCTGAAATTACAGAATTTGGCATAAGGTCACTATCATCTTATCAATAAGCTATTTTTTATTTTTTTTCAAATCCCCTCACATTGCACCAAAAACAACACATCTGCTCTTCAAAACCAAATTCGAAAGTAAGAAATTGCACACGGTTCAGAACTCACAACTGTAAGATAAAATGCAGTCCAAAAAATTGCATCCACAGCAGAAAATCAAACTCAAACCAAAAACTCATCACCGGTTACCCAAACAGCAGATCAACAATGTAAGCATCAGTAGCTGCATTAGCACACCTAAAATTAGAGACAAAAAAGGACAAAGTACAAACCAAACTAACATCAATAAAGCCAGAGTCCTTTCTACTCCTGCATTACTCCCCTCGCCCCCAAGAATGACCTCGAACTGGAAATACCTCCGCAGCTCCGAATGAAAAAAAAAAAAAAAAACGCTCTTCGGCAACCCTAAGAGAGAGAGAGTGGGGGAGCAGAAAAGGAGATGCAGTGGGCGAGTGAGTGGGATGGAGGGGACTGTGCCTTTAAAGCTGCTTAGAAACAAAGGAAAAATATAGAGAGAGATAGGAGAGAGAGAGACTGAATTCTGCAATAGAGAGCGGAAAGTAAGAGAGAGAAAAGAGCAAACTCTGCAGCTTGAATATGCGTGCCACAAAATTCACCCGTGATTTTGCTGTATATTACGAGAACGCCACCACCGCACAACGGTCAAAAAAATGATTTCTCTTTGTTTACGGTTAAATAAATATTATTAAATCAACGTACTTATCGCAGTCCGTACGTGTGCCGTAAGCATTTTCTTTTATTTTAAAATAAATTAAAAACACTTGTTTTAGTTAATTTAAAATGTTTTTATTATAATTATAAAAATATATTAATATTAAAATGCTTTTAAATTTTTATATAAATTATAAATATAATATATATAATATAAAAAATAATATTAAAATTGTCTTATATACTATTTATTGCCACCCATCTTTAGAATCTAGGAAAGTCCAAATCATACCGATTTTAGTACCCATAGTTACCTAAAAAAGCAAAAAATGAAAGGGCAATATGGGAATTTTTGGTTGGTTTAATTTTATTTTTTTTAATCAAAATTTTTACTCGCCGTGTCCCAAATAAATTGTAACATTTGTTCTTGGCAGCAAGATAATTTAAAAATTAAATGATATAATAAAGATAAATATATATTTTATTTTTTTATTTGGATGATGTGAAGTAATAAAGTGTGATGTAGAGATTAAGTATAATTAATTATTTACTATTTTAAAAATATTACATGCTAAGAATAAATATTGCAGATTGTTTGTGACTGGAAAAAATATTTCTTTTCGGCTGTATTTGAGAATGCCTAACTGTTAGTATAAAACACAGGAGTATATTTTATCATTATACATAAATTATATTTATGATGTTATAAGATAAAAAGTAAATTATATACTAGCATATAAATATAAAAATGGTATAAATACTTGGTATTTTATTTATTATATAAAATTTGTATATATTAAATTAATGCATGTATCAAACAATATTTTTATTAAAAATTGATATTTTATATGAATAAAAAAGTTAAATATAATAAGTTGTCTTTTTAAATTAGTTAATTAATTGATCAACGTTCCTTCTAAAGTTTTTTTAAAGAGAAATAAAACAAATTATAAAATAAAATTTTGATCAATTATTTATTTTTTATTATAAAAATTTTATTTAAGATTATTTTTATTTGTATAAAACTAATATAATTATATTCGTGTTTACAACAAAAACATCAATTTTGAATTAATAAAATATTTTATATATTTTTATTAAAATATGAAAAATGTTATATTATTTGTCATAAAATAAATATATTAATTATGGACAACCTTATAAAATTCAATTTTTATTATTCACCATGTACAATTTAAAATTATATATATTATTTTCTCTTTTAAAATATTATATCAAAATATTATTAAAAAATTACAAATCAAAATTTTATTATACATCAATTTTAAATCACAATCACATCAAGTCTTAATTATACATATAAATTTTTTTTAATAATATATTATGAATTAAATAGATTTATTTAATCTAACTTAAAACTTCTCTTAACCGATAATCAATGTCTTTAGTTTCAAATTTTTATCCCACCCAAGTCTTACTTTTCTAAGTCCCATTGAAAGATTATTATTTTCTATTTTTGTTCGTCCCAAAATAAAGTTACCATTTTCTAATTTAAGTAATTGTACTGTCTAACATAATAAATATCTTTTCAATTTACAATATATTACACAAATATCATTAATTTTATTACACCATATTAACAGGGGTATTTTTATTTTTTTACTGCAATCCAATATAATATTAATATTAAAAAATATACGTACAAAAAGTAAATGTCACCATTCAAGTGGACGGAGTGAGTAATAAAATAATAAAAAATGTATTTATTTGTGTTTTATATTTTTTTATCTCTTATAAAAACAACTATTGGATTGGATAATTGGAATGTAAGAATTTTGTAATAAAAAAATATTATAGTATTAAGAAAAATGAAATTCTAAAAATATAAAATACATTAAAAATCCAACAAATTTTCTATTTAAAGTTTTTTAGTAGACCTAAATGCAGACGGCACGCAACTCGTGCTCAAACAAATCATAATCGTAATTTTACACGTCATCTTTGAGTCGATCATTTTATTTAATTCCTTTAGAATTTAAAAAAAAAAAATCGCAAAATAAAGTAGTAATAATAAATAAATCAATAAATCAATTAAAGTAAGGACCGTACAAAACACCCGCATTCTAAGGTAATGTAGGTCAAATGGTAAAGCTCCTCGGGAAATTCTTTTAACAAATATATATATATATATATATATATTTTAAAAATATTAATTTATCATATATATTTATTATTTTTATATTTATTACACAATTTTTTATATTTTATATTAATTTTTTTTCTTCAAATTATTTTACAAAACAAATACACCATTCTTTTGTGGGGTGAAAATATTATGAAACTAATTCTACAAAATGATTTGAATTGATATTTTTTTTACATAAACTATATAATAATTTAAAAATAATAAATGCCTATAATATATTACTTTCGTCCATTTTTAAGAGTATAATTTACTTTTTACATATTAATATTTGAATATTAATTATTATATGAAAATATAGTACAAATTAAAGGAAAATGACAAAAATACTTATATTAGTATCTTATAATACTATTATTATAATAATATTTATGCAAAATATTATACAAATATATAAATATTTTTAATGCTAAGTACAATGTAAATGAAACTTTAAAACAAGACGAAAAAATATTATTTTTTTGGAAAATATTGTTTTTTATTAAAATATTAAATATCCTTGAATTTTTTCATTTAATTAACTCTTTTTTTGAAAAATCTGTGTAATATATTGTAAATTAAAATGGTATTTGTAATATTAGACATATAGTACAATTACAAAAAGTGAAATTGATATTTTATTACGGGACACAACAAAATGAAAAAATGAATAATTTGTTAAAGGACAAAGTGAGTAATAAATTTTATTGAAAATTATGAAAAATAAATAACATTGATTTTTATTTAAAATGCTAAAAAGACATACATAAATTTTTAATTCACCAATTATTTATTTGGATATATTTTTTGTCCCTTTGGATTTTTTTTGCGAATTTCTCAACCTCCATCCTACAAAACAGGCAAACAACCCCATGTCACATTTCTGATGAGTCCATACCCGAACTTGCTCTTATAGATTGTTGCAAGGTTGTGCCGGTTCGAGAAAGTAAAAAGATATGTCAAATGTCTCTGAAAAGTTGCTTAGTATTCCTTGAATATCGATTTTTTTGTATAGATAAGACATTCTTTTGGTTAATCTTCTATCTGTTTGAATTTTCCCCACCAAAGTCACGACTTACTCTCTAGCGAAGAGCTCTCACGTTAATTATATCTACCCCTGAAATTACTCTTCTGGGCCTTTCTGGATTTGGGCCGGTTGGATCATTGGGCCAGACGAACCGCTAAGCCATGGATTGCTTGCCTTAGACTATTTTGCATTGAGTCGATACTGAGTTATTATTTTTAGATGGGTACAAATGACTCCTACAAAATTATTTAGACAAAAATTACTTTGCTATCGTAACAATTTTGTTAAATACATAATGCTCCAACCATCCGCCTAACCCTTCGCACATGCCTATACTCAGGAACGAACTAGCCGTGTCATTGTTCTCGCTTCCAAAGGGAATGATGGAATCTCTTTACAAACTTTTCGTTGATAAACGTCCTCAACTCCCCTCCTCGAGCTCTATCAATTTGTATGCGACATTAGATGACCCAACTGATATGATGATCGGTCTTTCCTACATTGGAGACCAATTACCGAGCCTCGTGTCTTTGAGATTTTCAGGGAGGACGACCTTTCAGATCATATCATCTTCCTGAAATACTTAGGGTCGTATATATTTTCGGAAGGCTATTTCAGCATTCTATTTAATGCTTGACAAAGTTTAAGATATTTTGATAGTAGTATATCATTATTCTTAGTATAATAGTAAATTGATAACTTTGAGTGTGACGTACGAAAATGATAAAATAGATAGTTTCAATTGTAACTGGGAAATATATATGACCATTCTATATTACTTGTAGAAAATATTAATATTGAAAAACTCTCTAAAATAAGCATAAAGTCCCGACCTAATATTTACTCCATTCATTCTGATATCATATCATGATTCTTGTAGATAAATAGGAGAGGTACGACTAGTAACTAATTAAAAATATATTTGTAAAATTAATTATATTATAATACAAATAATTATAAATTAAAATTAAGTTAACTAATTAGTTTAATAAAAAATTAAAAAAAATATTATATGTGGAAAAATAGAAATAAAAAATATAGAAGTGTATATGGCAGGCAAGATTGGAGACATCAAAAGTTTGAACTCATTACTTCACGATTACAAGTTCATCCCACACCACAAAGTCATCTCTTGCGGAACACAATTTTTGTGATTTTAGATTAGTGGGTATGTTCCTCCCTCCATTTCATATACTCGCAGATATTTTTTATTTTAATTTGTGTCACATATTTTGCAATATTTCAAAAATATGAAATGCTTAACTATATTTATCCAATCACACGCTCAAAAAAAAAAAAAAAAGAAATAAATAAATAAATATACAATGCTCTCTCATCACACCACCTCATTATTTTAGGTTTGTTATTTTATTTTTTGATTTTTGTTTTTTTTTATGAGGTAAAAAGAATCGTGTTGTTAATGTCAAAAAAATAAGTAATTATTTATGGTGATTGTTGACTTTCGTAAAAAATAATATATATATATATTAAGAATTGTGTCGAAAAGAAAATTTTGTGCAAATAAATCCTCTATTTAATAATTATCAACTTAAAATTTCGTATTAAAAATAAAATATTTCACCCGTGTGTATATATATATATACAGAGGACTGAGAGTTTTCAATTAGTTAACAATTACTCCCTCCGTCCCATTTAATATGGGTATATTACTGTAGACACGAGAATTTAGGTAAAGTATAATTAGTAAGTAATTAAGAAGTGTATTAGTAAAAATAATTATTATAAAATTTAAAATTTAAAATGCGATTAAAGTGCATAATTATATTTCTAAAAATAAAAATGACAAGTTACGTGGGACGGACGAAAATATAAAATAGGGACAAATTATATGGGACGAAGGGAGTATTATATAATTGATAGCTATTTATCAAAAATCATAATTATTACCTATTATATATTAACAATTTAGTTAAAATATTAGAAAACTTATTGATTTTTTTCAAAAATCTATAATTTTTAAAGTAAAAAAAATAATAATTATAAAGGTCAATATTTTAATTTTGCTCTTGCCCTAAAAAATTGAAGAATGGCCCAAATACACATCATACACGAATTTAACTATTGGGTTTGGATTTTTTTATTGAATTGATGAATTTATTACTTCATCCGTACCACACGTTTGCTCCACTGTAAGCATAGTATTATTTTAGGAGGAACGTAATTAGTAGATAATTAAGAATGTATTAGTAAAAATAATTATTCTATAATATAAATAATTATAAATTAAGATTAAGATAACTAATTAGTTTAATTAAAATTTAAAAAATAAAATTAAAAAATTTAAAATGAGATTAAAGTGTGTAATCATTTTTCAAAAAAAGAAAATGATATAGTATGTGAGACGGACAGAAACGGCAACGTGGACATGATATTGGGACGGGAGGGAGTATTTTTTATGCATTGTTTGGTTGGAATATGAATTTTGAATTTTTGAATTAATAGTAAAAAGAAAAAAAAAATTTAATAGTTGTTTGGGATTTGGATTTTAGGTTGGATATTTGATTAATAAAACTTTGAATTTGAATATTATTTTATGTAATATAAATACACACTATTATATTATTTCAAATTTAAAATTAATTTTTAAAAATAATAAAAAATTGATTTAATATATATTTATTTTTAAAGCCACTCATATTTTCTTTTATAATCTTAATTTGAGTAATTTAATAATTATATATCACACACATATATGTTGTATGTATTTAAAAATGATGTAAATATTTCAAGAGTGTTAAATTTTAAAACTATAGTGTTATAATTTTTCAGCATTGTTAGTTTAAAAAATTATTTATTAAAAATTTAAAATGAATTTAGTAAGAATATTAATAATTGATTCTTTTTAAGAAATAAATCGAAAATTAACTATTTTTATTAATTGATTTTAATTATACACCAACCCCTTACAATGTTAATAATTAATTCTAGAAAAATGTTAATAATTAATTTTAATTAACTGGTGCAAGAAAAGAAAATTAATAAATTGAACAGTAAAAATTTACAATATAAAAAGTAATTAAAAATATAATAAATACACCTGTAATAATGAATTTAATGCATTGATTATACAGTAACAATAAAAAAGGAAAGTCTAATAATTTCACTGTAAATAATATAAAAGTGGAAACAAATTTAAAATTCACCTACCCACACATTAATTTCTCCCACTCAGTTACTATTTGTAAAAAAATTTAATAATTAAAAAAATAATTTAAATCAATAAAGTTGTAATATAAATGCATCAAATCCACAATAAATTCAGGACTTTTATTATTATTATTATTTTAAATTCAAATTACACTATTCATTTTGTATAATTTTTAATAAAAAAATATTTTTTTTATAAAATATTATATAAAAATATTGAATATGTTCATTTTATATTTTTGAATGAACACTTCTTTTGTTATGTATAAGGAATTGTTGGTAATATAAAAAATACTCCATCCGTCCCAAACACGCTGCAATATTTCCTTTTGGTATGTTCAAAATACCCGGCAACATTTTCAAAATAGAAAATAATTAATTATACTTAATCTCCACCCCACACTTTATCCCCCACATCATCCAAAATAAAAAATATCACACGAATTGTTACGATGAAACGAATAATTAGTATATTGATTTACTATTTAATATTATTGAACAATAAAAAATTATTTCATTTTCAACGTTAAAATATGCTTAATAAATTCATTTATCATATTATCGAACTGTTGTTAAACTCGAGTAAGACATTTTTATTTACAATAAATTATTTCAATTTCAATACATGATAGGAATGTCAATAGTTTTACTAAGACTTATTCGAACCTTATTGATATAATTTGTATAAATTAAATATTTAAATATATATTAAGAAAAAGAGGAAATTAATGAGTATTAACAAATATATACATCCATGCATACGTAAAAATTACTAACACACACAAACATATGTATATATATATATATATAACATTTTGGATTAAATTAAAATTTATGTCTTACAAATATATTCCAGATCGTAGTAACAATCTTCGTTTATAATATCACTGTATGTTCTTGGATGATTTTGATAAAAATGATTGATTGGATACCTTTGATTCAATTATATTTTAGTCTTTTAAGTTGATATTAAATCAGTATAATTTTTATTTATTTATTATTTTTAACTTGATCAATAATATAATTTGTTTCTCAGATGTCTACACTATTCGTTATAATTAAAGCAATTTATTCAAATTTCATTTTATACGTGCAAGTTTATCAATGTCATGCTCAACAAAATTACAGAAAAAAAAACTCATCAATATATTAATTTTATGAAATTATGCTAATTTTAGGGTCCGTTGGCTTAAAAAAACTTATGTGATTTTTTGTTGATACTTTTAATATAAATTAATTATTGCATGTATTGTTTCAAATAAAAATGAGTGTCAGAAGTAATATCTTTTCAATAAAAAATAAAAATTATAATAAGAAAAATATACACAAAGTAAAAATACTTATTATTCATTATCCTCGCATTGTCACATTTATAATTTAATATTATTAATATCAATTAATCTACTCAGATTTTTCCGGCATTAATTATTATTGCTCGAATTAATTGAAATGAAAATATTTAAATTATTATTTTGTATTCTTATCATAATTCAACGGTGTGATGAGCAAACAGTAATATGTAACTGACTCATTAATGGCATATTTATCCGTCCGCCTATAAAATCCACCTCGTCTCGCTTTTGCAAAGGACACATTGCATTCAAAGTATACACCGTTTCTCTCACTTGCTTAAGCAAAGACATAGAACTAATGGCCGGAAAATTCAACCTGAATTGCACTCCAGAAAACAAGTGTGAGTCCGAAGAACTTGATTTAACGCTCCGGCTAGGAGGGCCGTATGAAGAAGTAAAGAAGTCCGAGGAAACAAGGAGCACAATGCCTAACTTTGTAGGCAACGTGGGAGGTGAACAATCTTCATTTGGGAAGGTATATTTTTATAAATCATCGTATTAAGGTAAAATAATATTATTTTATTGAGATCTGGTAAGAAACAATTATAATCTATTGTGATTAAAAAAATTATGTGAGATCTATCTGTGTTTTGTAAAACTCTATGCATAAACCTTACCGATAAGTTAAATTTTACCAGAAAATATATCTCACGTGGTAGCACTGCAACTTAGATGGACGGATCGACTTAGTCAAACAATCTCGACTGCAATCCTTGCGCGTGAGATGTATTCTCCATTAAATTTTAACATATTGAATGTTCTGTTTAGAGTTTTCGAAAACAAAAATAGATCTAATCTTATTTCTTAAGCACAAGGAATAATTAAATTTAGTAAGATCCTTTTATGCGGTCTAAATAAAATGAATACAAAAATCGTCGTTAAATTTGTTGTTGTTATGCTCAAGCCAACTAATGCTTTTATTTATAGGGTGACAATTCACACCTCATAGGGAATTCATACGGGATTGCGGAGATTCCTAGTGGATCTACAATACGGACAACCACTTTTGTGCAACCACCAATTGTTACCGATCCCATTCGCTCAATCATTTTCCCGTTCCATCAAGAATTTGTGGCCAATCGAAGCATGTCCCGCAAGAGACCTATCACCGATGTTCATGAGGAGGATGAGACTAAGGCTTGCGACATTTGCCAAAATAGTACAACTCCTTCATGGCGTAGGGGCCCCCAAGAAAAAGTATGATCTACTATCTTCTATATCAATTAAATCTAAAACTATAAACTTAAGTTTGTGATTATTCTAACACAACGTCTTCATTACATTTGTAGAATTGGTGCAACGCCTGTGGCTTGCGCATGTCCCGTGCCAACAAACGCAATTGAGAGGAGATGGTGTTGGTCCGCGAAGCTGTGATAGGGTGTTGTTGAATGGTTGCTACTATTTGTTTTAGAACACTATCGTGTTATTTGGTTTCTTTTGTTGAATTTTCTAAAAGATTGTTTGCTTTGTCGAGCAAGGAAGATTGAATGTTTGTAATGGACAATGGCACCTTAGTTGCCATCTTTAATTATATTTTCAATTGACATTCTATCACAATTTGTTCTTAATGATATTTTGCTATATCTTTAGCAATGTTCTTTTTATTTTTTCAGCATGATGAATGTATTATGTCATTGTAGATTGGCTAGCTCTAAGCCAACACAAATCCTTCAAGCTTGCTTAGACCTTACCGATGCGCACATTGAGAAACTTTTCGGAAGGTAAAATATCGTGAAATTGTTCTAAAATTAAAATGTCTAACTTCAAAGTTCTTTCAAGTAAATTTCCGAAAAAAAAATATATCTTATTGATACCAATAGTCAAATCGATCCATTTAAATGCTATGGGATTACATGTTTATCATAATAAAGCTTTTCATTTTATTTTTAATTATGCTTATTCTTTTTTATATTTAAATTATATTCTATATATATTTTTATATATATATATATATTTTTAAAAAATAACATAAAAAGGAGTAATACGACGTAGTTATGGTGTTAGCTCCAATACTATGTTGCTTAGCTATAGTCAACACATTGTAACGATATACAGAATACATAATTGCCCTTAAAACAATATGTATTGTACATATTATTAGCATGTGCTATCAGTTATATATCAGATATTTGAGAAAATTATTTTTCATTCTGTACGTGACTCCTTATCATTTTAGAATCCTTCTGGAACATTTATTGGATTAGTCCTATAATTAAAAGGATTAACAAAAATGATCATCGAGTGACGGAGTTGCTTGTGTAGTACCGCAGTGACACGCCGTTGATTAAATGGATAACAAGTAAGAAGCGTTTGAGGATTGTTTCTGTCATTTTTTTAATTGTAGGACTAATCAAATATAAAGTCTCATTATGGTCCAAAATGATCTTCAGATAAATGTATACTCATCATCCACATAATATCCGGTGTGCCACAACAATGTGATGCCAACACGGGGTGAGATAAAATATTACTATTTTTTAAGTCAACTAAAATTATTGGTCTCAAATTTATATACAATTCATTTATAGTAAAAAATACTCCATTTGTTGGCAAAAATTAGCACATTTGGAGTTGACACAGATATTAAAAAATGAATATTTTATTGAAAAGTAAGGAAAGTAAAATAGTAGTTGGGGACATTTTTGAAAATTTAGTTAGTAATTGAAAACAAGAGAGAAAATTTAATAAAATTAGTGGTATTGGTTGTAAATAAATATTGAATGAAAGGTAATAATTAAATATTGACTTTTTGATTTTTTTAATATAATAATGAAATAAATTCAACGGATGAACGAAAAAGGAAAATGTAATTAAATTTGACTGATAGAGGGAGTATCCACTTATAATTTTATTATTCTTATTTTAGCACAATAATAATTTTGTTACTATATTTTTTATTTACCTTACTATTTTTTTACCAACTTTTTAACAAATTTTTGGTGATACTTTAATTGTGTATATATATATATATTATTTAACTTATCCATTTATAAGTTTTAATAAATTGATACTTGGTTCCAAATAAAGACCTAAATATTTTATACAATAAAAAATGTAAAATATTTTAAATATTTTTTGAATAAAATAAATAAATAATTGATTAATAATTTATTTTTATAAATTTGTAAAAATCAGATACAAATTTATCTCAAAAAAACTATAAAATGAAGGACTAATCAATTATTTGTTTATTTATTTTATTAAAAAATTATTTAAGATATTTACGTTTTTTATTTGTATAAAACTTGCGTAACTTAGTATTTATTTTAAACAAAACACCATTTTTGGACAAAGAAGGTGTTTCGTGCAAATTTTATATTAACACAAGAGATCTCACGTAATACATAAAATACATGGTGTTTTGTGCATTTTTACTAAAACACTAGGGAGTGTTATATAATTTACCCTAAAAATAATACTCAATTTTGTCTCATCTTAATTGATACATTTTTCATTTTTGTTTATTCTATAACAATTGACATTTTTCTATTTTGGGTGAAATTTACTAAACTAAATCATACTCCATTTAATAAATAAATCAATTTAATTGACTACGTAATATACATCATCTATGACTCATTCAAAACTCATTTATTTCTATCTCTTTCTTTAAAAATTAATATTTTTATCTACATTAAAACTTATTTTTAATAATATTAGTTTATATTAATTATAAATAAATAAACTTAATTTTATTTACTTATATTATAGAAAATTTTATTCTCTACACAAGGATATTAATATCGAATATATTTTTTTTATTACGATATAATTTTTAAAATATTTAAATAATATTATAAATTTTAATCATATATATTAAATTTATTTTAAAATTATAGATATTCTTAATTACATAAAAATCAATAAAATAATATATATTATAATTCACAATTATTAAATACTTAAAAATCATAATCTTAAATACCGTGTCAATGAAAAAATTAAATTGGAGGGAGTATTATTTTTAATATTTGTGCTCAAATAAAATAGTATAATTTTGTCGGACAAACAAAATATTATAAAGGGTAAAGTGTTTTTTTTACTCTTGTATCCGACCTCTCTTATTATTTTATGACTTAAAGTGGACTATGTTTGAAAATAGTCCCGTAATTAAAACTTTTTCGCTAAAATAGTCCTTCAGTACCGGACTTGTCACGCTGGTCCGCTGTTGCTGACGCGGATGATATGTCATCGCCACGTACATGCTACGTCGGAGGACTATGTTAACGAAAAAAATTTACTTGCAGGACTATTTTCAAACAGAGTCTATTTAAAGTCCTAAAATTAATAAATGAGGTCATATATGAGACTAAAAAAAAAGTTTACCAAGATATTTTGTAAAGAAAAAATAAAAAAATTCCACGTGTCGCTAACGTAACATCTACATGGCGATGACATGTCAGTAGTGTCAATGCCACATCAGCAATGGCAGGCCAGCGTGGCGAGTCCGGTACCGGAGGACCATTTTAGCGAATTTTTTTTTTACTTATGTGACTATTTTCAAATAGCGTCCACTTAAAATTCTAAAATAATAAATGAGCCAAATACGAGATTAAAAAAATAGTTTATCCTATAAATTATTTGATATATTTTTATAGTGCATGTTAATAAATCTAAATTTAAATATATTTAGTATGGTTGTTGATATGCTAAAATATACTCCGTCTGTCCCAATACAATAGTCTTGTTTACCATTTCTGTCCATCCGAAAATAATAGTCTTACTTCCGTAAATAACCATATCATCATAAGATTATCTATACTTTTTAATTTTTATTATACAATTGCCACTATTTTTTACACTAATACACCCACAAAGACAAAAAATTCTTTTATCTATATTTTTACCAACTACCAATATAATATTAATATTCTTTAAATCTCTTGTCCAACCCAATTAAAACTATAATTTTGGGACGGACATGAGTATAACTTTTAGCATTACTAATATAAAAGATTTATTAATAAATGACCACACTTTTAACACAAATTAATTTTAAATATTTGATGGTACAATCATATAGATTTATTGATTGAATATGAATTTTATTGTGTTATGAACACATAATCATGATTGACAAATGACTGCGATTAAAGTTCTGATTTGATAAGTTAGAAAAGAAACAATTAGCAATTTATCACAAATCAAATAATATAATATATTAATTTGAAATAATTAGAATTTCATCATAAGAATGACATCATATATTGTGTTACTATATACTACCTTCGTATCTTAACTAAATATTTATTTATATTTTCCATGTTGAAAATTAAATATTAATATTATATTAATATGTAGTATAATTTTTTTTTTAAAAATAATATCTATTAGTGTTTTATAATTACATTTTGGGCTCAATTTTTTATTTGGGCCTCCACCAAATTAGGTCTGCTTACATAATTGGAGATTTTCACTAGTTTGGACTTTATTTTGTCATTTTGGAACTTTTTTCTAATTCATATTTTTTGGCCCAACAAATTTTTAAAATAAACACAAGAAGATTATCTAACGTTTAAATATTTCTAAACAAGTAGTATTAAATTAAAAAAAACACCATATGTACAATATGTACATACTATATGTCAATTAAAATTTTTAATTTTAATTTTTTTTTCAATCCAATCTAATTTTAAAATTTAAAAAATCCACATCAAATTTTAAATTACAATTTGACACGAATCAAATACTCTCCCTGTCCCACTCCAAAGGGATATTGTAATATATTTTAAAAGAATAGTATTTTATTAGTTAGTATAAGTGCGTAACAAATTTTGACATTTTTGCTATTTAACTTTATATATAAAGTAATTGTACTTTACGTTTGTAATCTAGATAAAAATTAATTTCTTTTTATTATTATTGTATAATTATTTTTATTAAAATAAAAAAAAATAGTTTACAGTGGCACGAACATAAATAATAAAAATAGTATTTGAGTTGAGAATGAGAGAATATTTAAATTTAAAATATTTTGCTCACTTAATATAGAAATCTTCTCCACTCTTCCATTATATAACTTCATTGAGTTAATTTCTTGTTCTATTTGACTTAGTTTTACTAGGCCATTTCTATCATGAACTTTTGGGCCTTTAGGGCGTCTTCGATGCTATTTTTTGTTTTTTTTAGGCTTCATTTTTTGTTTTTTTAGGCTTTGGATTTTGATACGCTCCTTCTATTATGATGAATGTTTGCCCTAAACGTTTAACCTAATTTAGACTTTGATACCATGTCGATGCTAAATGACTGTTTCACCTAAAAGTTTGAACGGTTAGAAAAACTAAGTCATTGTTCATATATTCGCAAACGGGAGTCCAAACAATATGTATAATAGATAACAAGAGCATATCTTATGGCGTGTTTAATTGTTTTCTTATTTTAATATTATTATTATTATTATTATTATTATTATTATTTATATATATATTTTTGTTCTGAAGTTTTGGAGTGTTTTTCATTAATATATTTTTAAAAAATTATTGTCCAATCTTCATATATATATATATATATATCCCTATAAAATACTTCATTCAAGGAACTATAAAAAAATCACTGAAAGAATATACTTACATATTGACTCAGATATGCTGCTTTGAAAAAAAAAAAAAAAAAACATATTCTTATAGTAAATTGACGAATGCATATTGAAGATATTGAAAAACAATAAAATATTCCATTCATCGTCTAAAGATATAGTTACTGTTTTTGATTTACCATAAAAAATATTGTCAGTTTTTTTTTTTTTTTTAAACAAAAAAGTGCAGTTGTTATTATTTTAGTATAAATAATAAAAAAGAAAAGAAAAAAATAATTATTACTTATTTTTATTAAAATTTGTGTCCAAATAGATAATTGGACCGTAATGAAAGTATAGTATATTGTAAATAATATGCCCCAATTAAAAATATGAATTGATGGATTGGGCCTTTATTATAATATTGCAATTATTTTCAATATGAACAAAATAATACCTATCTCTAGCCTTTAACCAATTTTCACAGATCCAATAAAAGCATATTTTAAATCTTTTCGTAAATAATAATTTCCAATAAAAAATTTTATTAATGAATTGGGCCACAAAAATTATATATTATCAATATGTACAAAATAATAATAATAATAACGGTAAATCCGATAAGCTTAAATGATAGGTGCAGATGCAACAATATTAATAAATAAATAATGAGTTAGCCAAATCTCTGTCTCTGTGCCAGTCACCAAATAATTTATTGATGACGTTCGGTTGTGATGCTTATCATGATGCAATAATAAATAAATAACGGCTTAGCCAACGCTCTCTGTCTCTGTATCAGTCACCAAACAATTCATTGACGACGTTCGGTTATGATGCTTAGCACAATGCAATAATAAATAAATAACGGTTTAGCCAACGCTCTCTGTTTCTGTATCAGTCATCAAATAATTCATTGACGACCTTCGGTTGTGATGCTTATCACGATGCAATAATAAATAAATAACGGTTTAGCTAACGCTCTCCGTCTCCGTGTTAGTCACCAAACAATTCATTGACGACGTTCGGTTGTGATGCTTATCACGATGCAATAATAAATAAATAACGGCTTAGCCAACGCTCTCTGTCTCCGTGTTAGTCACCAAACAATTCATTGATGACGTTCGGTTGTAATGCTTATCACAATGCAATAATAAATAAATAACGGCTTAGCTAACGCTCTCTGTCTTCGTGTTAGTCACCAAATAATTTATTGACGACGTTCGGTTGTGATGCTTATCACGATATAATAATAAATAAATAACGGCTTAGCTCTGTCTTTGTGTCAGTCACCCAACAATTTATTTATCCGTCTCTTACACTAAGTATCATTAACTATGTTGTTTGTTAGTTACATTAATTTCTTATTTGGTAAAAAATATTAAATTTATTTTACTGCTATAAATCAATTGTCCAAAATCGATAATATACCATGTGCACCGTACCCAATAATATTTGCGATAAAATTTTTTCTTCTTATCTAAAAAAAATCTAGACCTAACCCTATATATTTGCTACTTCATCTTCGACCTCCGACGACAGAGAGCTGCAATTGATACCAGTGGGCAACTACTTCATCTTCAACCTCTGACGGAGAGCTGTCATTGGATACCAGTCGGAAACCAAAATTAATTAAATTTGTGGAAACGACCATAAATTAGTGAAAAATAAGTTTACTGGATTTTCTGCAAATCGTTTCACCAAAATGGGGAAGATGACAAGGTGTTCAGCTACTCTTTAATGGCGTCCACCCCTTACGTCCGCCTATATAAACCCCTCGTCTCCTTCTCCATGGACATGCGATTCCTTACAGAAGAAGCAGCAGCAGCAACGAGCGATGGCGAAAAATTCAGTGTAATCCCCCTCGATCAAACTTGTTGTGAAATTCAGCCCGAGCAGTTCGCGGAGGAAGGAGGAGGTGGAGGAAGAGGACAAGGCTATGGATCTCACCCTCCGACTGGGAACGCCGGGGGAGGAGAAAAAGCCCGATGAGACGTCGGGCACCGCCGCTGATCCGCCATCATCGTCACCATCTCCGCCGCCGCTCAGTATGTACAACTTTTTCAGTAAGGAGCGACTGCATCCGCCGACGTCCACCTCTGCCAAGGTAAGGGTTTTCACGTGCAATGCAGGTGTTCTAATACATGAGGATTTCGGGTTTTTTTTTTAATAATTCGATAAATTTTTGTTTGGGGTGAAAATTAGGGCAACTTCCATCAACAGTTCTGGAAACCACGCGGAGGTGCAGTGGCCGTCGGCGGAGGGGTCGCCATCGGGCCGGCGGCGATAATACCGGTGGTGGCGGTGCCCTTCCCGCAGGGGTTCGTCCCCGTCTACAGGAGCCCCCGCAAGCGCCCGAATCCCGGCGGCGAGGCCGGAAATGAGAACCGCGTCTGGGAGAATTGTGGAACTCGCAGAACCCCTTTATGGCGGAAAGGTCCCGTAAGGACAGGTAATCAGATCTGCTTCAATTTTTCCGATTTAGGGTTTAGCTGTTCAGAATTAGGGTTTTCATTGCTGGAATTATGGTTTTTCGATTTGGTTAATTGTTTTTTCTGGTCGATTTTGTGTTCAGAACCTTTGCAACGCATGCGTCCGCAACCGGAGGAACTGACGGTGCGGCATAGAGCGGCGGCGACTCTGGCAGGTGTACGGATTTGTTCCGTTGGGGGACTTGTGCGATTCTTTAATAGATTAAAAAATAATAATATTTTATTGATTAGTGAAAAAGTTAAAGATAGATTTTGATATTTTGACATTTTGTATTTTATATGTAAATTAATTATATGTGTAATGATATATCTTTAATTTATATAAACATTAAAAGAATATTTTCGTATTACTGTTTGATTATTTTTACTATAATAAGAAGTATATAATTTTGAATTGGATGCTGATAGTAAAATGTTACTTTCAATTGAAAAGGAAGAATATCATTTACAAATAAAAATAAAAATTATTTGGATTTGTTGTATATTATGGTTGCAAAACTCAAAAATTAACATTGCAATTCCTCGATATATTCAAATTTGAGAATTCTCGATATTATCAAAATGTAGCATATTTAAATTACATCAATTAATTTCAATAACCAATAGTAAATTTTAGGCGGATGCGGAATAAAAAAGATAACAATAATTTTTCTTAAGTATTGTATACATAACATTTTATACATTCAACGCCTAACAATGACAAAAACCCTGAATAAATTTTATAGTACTAAATTAAACTAGTCCACAAATACCGACAAATAATATTTTTAAAAAAATATTGAATACAAAAAACTCCTAATAAGAACATATGTACAATATGTAATATTATACTCTCTCTTTCCCAATTCAAAGTATTTTTTTTACCATTTTCGTTCGTCCTACTTCAAAGTATCAATTTCTTATTTTTGAAAAAGTAATTATACAGTAATATCAAAATACCTTTAACTTTTACTTAAATTACAAATGTACCATTACACATACAATTACTACATAAAAGTTAAGGGAAAAAAATATCAAAAACTCTTACACACTTCTACTAACTAATAAAATACTATTATTTATTATTTTACTATAAAATCCCAAATGATCTTTTTTATTTGGGACGGAGGGAGTAATATATTTTCAAAATTTTCAATTGATTTAAAATATTATTTTTAAAAAAATTCAATCCAATTTAATTCTAAAATTTAAAAAAAGTTCAACTCAAATTTTAAATTTTAATTTGACACGAGTCAAATATTTAAACTTTGAGGGTGTGTTTGATTGTGGGTTTTAGTTTTTGGGTTTGGATTTTTGAATAATAGAAAGTTGAATTTAAATAGTTGTTTTTGTTGTAATATAAATAGAGGTTGAAGTGATAAAAAATAAAAGTAATTGTTTTCGTGATATTTTTGGAGGAAAAACAAATCTGAATAGTAAAAACTTATCGTAAAACCCACCAAAGAATTAGAGCTGTTAAACGAGCCGAGTAAGCTCGAGTATTGGTTGTTCGAGCTCGACTCGAACTTGTTAACGGTACAGGCTCGGCTTGGTTCGTTAAGAATTCGAGCCAAAATAGTAGCTAGAGCTCGGCTCGTTAGGCTCAAATTCAAGCTCGAGCTCAGCTCGTAAGGCTCGAACTCAAGCTCGAGTTCGAGCTCAGTTTGAATTTTATACATATTATGTATATTTTTTAATATATAAATTAAATATATTTAAATTTAAATAATAAATATAAATTTTGATATAAAAAATTATATATATTATATTAATATATAAATAAAATAAATATATTATCACTAACGAGCTCAAGTGAACTACTCGCGAGCCGAGCTCGAGCTCGGATCGTTTGTAGAAAAAGATAATTTTTGAGCTCAAGCTCCGAGTCGAACGGTAAACGAGCCGAGTCGAACTGCGAATATTTTACTCACATAAAATTGAGCACAATCCATGTCACTACCCATATAACTTTTTTCCTCCACTAACCTAATTTCTTGTTCCATTTGACTTAGAATTTGTTTTTTCTTTTAGTCAATTTTATATTTTTTATTATTTAGATCATACGATTTTTTAAAATATATATATTTCTCTCCACTAAACATTATATCAAATATTATTTTAATAGCAAGTTCAAATCAATTTTTTTTCCAAATCAATCAATCAAAAGAAACACAACCTTAATTTTACTAGGGCCTCTAGGTTATCATTTACTTAATTTTTATTTTGGACTTTGTACTTTGACATGCTCATGATGTCTCGATTATATGCTTAGTAAAACTAATAAAAACATATTTTAACTTTACAGCAATAATATATATAATTCATAGTCCATATAAATATAAATATAAATATATATATATATATATATTATGACCTTTAATTTATGGATATGTCTACCGAGTGATGAACTTGAAGACTAGAGAACCCGAAGAAGCTGAGAAACTTGTAAACAAAGAGAAACCGGAAGAGATAGAAGACGATGAAAAGGGAAAGGAAGATAGAAGACGATGAAAAGGATAAGAGAGTAGGGTGTGTTCGTTTAGTGAAATTGTTTGAAGAGATGTTCTTTTGATACGAGGTATATACAATTGTGTAATAATATAAAAATAATGAGCATGTGTAATATATTATTTTTTTTTTGAAAAATGTATTTTTTGAAATGGGTGGAAAAACAAACCTGTAATGCTTACCGACAAAGAAATCAACAAGAAGAATGGAAGGAGAAAATGGACGCGAAAATGACGTTGTTGTTGAAACATAAGGACATGAAGTTTGATAATTTTGTTTGTGTATCAAACATTGTCTTAATTAAGTAAATAATTAGAATTGTTATTGGTATGAAGTGTGTTGTTTGTTTGTTTCTTTTAACATTTTAATTTATTTTAGGTTGTTTATGCGGAAATAATAAAAAAATTATTTATAATAAGTGTAATTTTTTTAAGCAATATTTTTTAAAAATATATATCCGTTGGAGATGAATTTATAATATATTTATAGTTTTTTTTTTTTTTTTTTACTTTCAATATACCTAAGCCTAAATAATGAATTTTTAAAGGCAAATATATATTTTAGTTTCTAACGGTTATATAAAAACTAATTCAATTACAACCAAACCAATCATAATGTACACATATATATAAATTTGCAATAACATATTAAGTTAATTAATATTAGAATAAAATAATTTTATTATTATAAATAAATTTGTGGGTCAATTCATATTAATACAGGTCAAAGTTAAATTCTTTAATTTAACTCAACGGTGGACTTGATAGAGAATTACGTCTGCAAATATATATATAGCGTTAAAATATTGAAAGTCATATTATAGATTATTATTATAACTTACAAATTTATTTTCTTAACTATTGTAAATAGTACCGTAGGTCAATTCATTTTTAAAGCAGACCAAAATTAAATCCCTTAATTTAAATCAACGGTGGAGTTGATAGATGGTTATAAAACAAAGTCTGAAGAAACAATAATAATAATGTAGAATTAAAACTTAAAATATTGAAAATCATATTGTAAATTATTATTATAAATTACAAATATATTTTTTTATATATTCTAAATGGAATTGTGGATCAATTCTCGTTGAAACGGACCAAAATTAAATCCCTCAATTTAACTCAATGATGGACTTGATTGAAAGTTAAGACATGAAGTCCGAAAAAAAAAAAAAACAATATATAAAGTTAACATACTGAAAGTCCCTATTCTACACATTTTCCCCCTCTCTGCTCCGTCCAAAAGAAAAACTCCTCGTTATACAATCTTTTTGCAGTCATTCTGTCTCCAAAATTCTAACATTATAAGAAAAAATTATTTTTGTAATAAATTTTTTTTGTCTCTAAATCTATTTCTTTCGTTACTAGTGACATTAGAGACGGAATTATGAATGAAATTATATTAGCTACGTGAACTTTAGGGACGAAATTCCGTTACAAATATATTATTATTATTTTTTTTAGTGTAAACTTCTCTGGCAAATTGACAATATTGGAAAAAAAATTGTCCCCAAATCAAAGTTTCAAGTAGTAAACAAATTTTTAGTTGTTCTTGTTTTATTATTAATATTTATATATATGTTTACATGATTTTCTCTCCTAGGTAGTGTAAATTTTTTCATTTTCGGTATATGCATCGGTTGGATCATGAAAAAATTATGTGTTATATTGTTCATTTTTATGTTTTTATATTGGCGGCTTATGTATTTTGGTAAAATATTTCTTTAGAGGAATTTTTTAATGGATTTTATGTGTAAAGTAACGAGGTTGTTATTTAGGTAGAATATGATTTATTATACCTTACTCGATTGTCAAAAATTGATTTTTAATTTTTTTAAGGTTAGAATTATGGAATATTTGAAGCAAATGACCTTAGGTAGATATTTATTATGTTCATGTAAATATATTATTTTGAATGTTTGTTTTAGTACAATCTCGTGGTTTGCCTATATATTTATATAGTGACTTAGATATATTGTTTTGTAAAAAAAAAAAAAGAAAATTCTTTCAGCCATTGACGGAACTAAAAAGGTTTTCATAAATAAATAACAATGTACCGAACGATTTTGTATGCGACAGTAATAATAAATAAATAACGGCCTACTCAACGCTCTCTGTATTAATAGTGTCGGTCATCATAAATAAATAACCATCTAGCCAACGCTCTACCGTCTAGCCAACGCTCTATGTCTGCGACATTATTAATTAATTAATAGATAATGGTCTCCTCAACGTTCTCTGTATTAATTGTGTCAGTCATCATAAATAAATAACCGTCTAGCCAACGCTCTGTGTATGTGACAATATTAATTAATTAATAAATAACGGCCAAGCCAACGCTCTCTGTATTTGTGTCAGTCATCGTAAATAAATAACTGACTAGCCAACGCTCTCTGTACTTGTGTCGGTCACCATTAATAAACCGGTCTCTGTATTTGTATCAGTCATCGTAAATAAATAACTAAATAGCCAACGTTCTCCGTATTTGTCGGTCACCATAAATTAATAAAGGCCTTCCTAACGCTCTTTGTATCGGTTTCAGTCACCAAACAAATTATTAGTGAAAAATAATTTATTTAATGGCGTGCACCCCTTAGCTTACCACCGCCTATATGAACCCTCCCTCCTTCTCCATGGACATGAGGTTCCTTACAGCAGCAGCAACGAGCGACGACGGTGGAGAATTCTTCTATATAATACCCCTCGATCAAGCTCGTCGCTGAAGCACTGCAATGGCGGACAGATTCAGGCCGAGCAATTCGCGGAGGAAGGAGGAGGTGGAGGAAGAGTACAAGATGATGGATCTCACCCTCCGACTGGGAACGCCGAAGGAGACGTCGGGCACCGCCGCTGATCAGCCACCGTCGCTGCCGTCTCTACCGCCGCCGATTATGTACAACTTTTTCAGTAAGTAACGAGGGCATCCGCCGACGTCCACCTCTGCCAAGGTAAGGGTTTCACGTGCAATGCACGTGTTCTAATACATGAAGATTTCGTATTTTTTTTTTTTAATAATTTGATATATTGTATTTTGGGGTTAAAATTAGGGTAATTTCGACCAACAATTCTGGCAACCGCACGGAGGCGCGGTGGCAGTTGGCGGAGGAGTCGCCATCGGGCCGGCGGCGATAATTCCGGTGGTGGCGGTGCCGTTCCCGCAGGGGTTCGTCCCCGTCTACAGGAGCCCCCGCAAGCGGCCGAATCCCGACGGCCAGGCGCGAAATGAAAATCGGGTCTGCGAGAATTGTGGGACACGCAGAACCCCTTTATGGAGGAAAGGTCCTAAAGAACAGGTATTCAGATCTGCTTCAATTTTCCGATTTAGGGTTTAGCTGTTCAGAATTAGGGTTTTCATTGCTGGAATTATGGTTTTCCGATTTGATTAATTGTGTTTTTGATCGATTTTGTGTTCAGACGAACCTTTGCAACGCATGCGGTCTCCGAAACCGGAGGAACTAACGGTGCGGCAGAGAGCGGCGGCAACTGTTGTGTACGGATCTGTTCCGGCGAGGGACTTCTGCCGGATTATGATTTTTTTTATAATTTTAATTGTAATTAAATCAAGGGTTTTTGTTAGTCATTTGAATTTTGTACTTGATTAAGAAATAAGTTTGAGTTTTGTAATTAATTAGAAATTAATAATATTTTATTTTGATATTTTTATGTTTTGTACTATTATACTCTTTCTTTTCCTATTCAAAGTATCATTTCTATAGTTTTGGTTCGTACTATTTTAAAATATTCATTTTTTATTTTTTGAAATATAATAATATCCTAATATCAAAATACCTATAATTTCTACTTAAATTACAAATGTATCATTACACATACAATTACTCTATAAATAAAGTTAATGGAAAAATATATCAAAAACTCTTACACACTTTCCAAACACCCTTTTTATTGATGGACGAGTAATATATTTTCAAAATTTTCAATCGATTTTAATATTCTTTTACAAAAAATTCAATCCAATTTAATTCTAAAATTAAAAAAAAAGTTCAACTCAAATTTTAAATTTTAATTTGATAAGAGTCAAATACTTAAACTTCGAGGGTGTGTTTGTTGGGGATTTTTAGTTTTTGGGTTTGGATTTTTGAATACTAGAAAGTGAAATTTGAATAGATGTTTGATGTAATACAAATAGAGGTTGATGTGATAAAAAAATAAAAGTAATTGTTTGATTTAATATTTTTGAAGAGAAAAAAAATTTGTACAGTAAAAATCTATGGTAAAACCCACGAAAGAACACAACACTAGTATTTTAGTCATATAATATTGAGCACAATCCATATCTCTACTCATATAACTTCTTTTGTCCACTTAGCTAATTTCTTGTTTTATTTGAATTAGAGTATATTTTTTTGACTCAATTTTTTATTTTTTACTATTTGAATTATACGCTCTTTAAAAAATAATATATATCTCCTCACTAAATATTCTATTAAATATTATTTTAAAAGTAAAGTCAAATCAATATATATATATATATTTTTTTCAAATCAATCAATCAAAAAGAAACTCACCTTTAGTTTTACTATGCCTCTAAGATATCATTTATTTATTTTTTATTTTGGGCTATATATTGATGGGCTCTTGATGACTTGAGTATATGCTTAGCAAAGCTAATAAAAGCATATTTTATGTATAATTATCTTTTAAAATAATAATAAAAAAATAATAATAAAGTTAATATTATTTTAACTTGAAAGCTTAAACCTATTTTAATATTATCCAATAATAGCATATTTTGGTCTAATGGTGTGTGGTGAGTTCAAGCATTAGACAAATTTAATCTTGTTTGTTGATCTTGTTTGTAGATTATTATGTTCGGCTAAAAATACCCAAAATACACTCGAAGGATAACGACTGCTGTTCTCACATAATAAAAAAAAATAATACTACATCTGTCTCATAAGAACAATTCAATTGGTTTTTTTTTTATTATTGATATTTGAATATTAATTATTATATCAATACGCAGTACAAACTAAGAGAAAAAGACAAAAATACATTTATTAGTCTTTTATAATATAAATACAATAAAAATTATAAATATGAGAATATTTGTTATGTTAAATACAACTATACAAAAACAAGTGATGACTATTTTAATGAAATAAAAGTAGTAACATACTTTGAATTCTTTTCATAAATAATATTCCCAATTGAAAATGTGAACTAATGGGCTAGGTTATAGAATCTTATATAAATATGTGCAAAATAATGTCCTTTCCAAAGCTTTAGCGGCCACTTAAACATACTTACTAAGATCATATCTTACACTCTTTTGTAAGTGTAATAATCATTCTCATAAAAAAAATGTAAATTAATGGATTTGATAATATATATATATATAATAGATCTAATAAGAGCAAATCTTAGGGTGTGTTTATTGTTTTTTTTTTTCTATGTTTTTGGTGTGTTTTTATTTAGTACTTTTTTTTTTAAAAAAATTACTATTCAATCTTCATAATTTTTTATAAAAGTATAATACTATTTTATTTTATAATATACGGTATTCAAATGATTGTTAAAAAAATCACTGAAAGAATACCCTTGTTGTTGTGACTTAGATATCCAGTAAATCTATGAATGCATATTAAAAAAAATTTAAAAAATTATTAAAATATACATTATATGTGACAAATAATACAAGTCCCTGGTAAAAATGTTAATAGATGGATTGGACCATTATTATAATATTGCTACTGTTATTTTCAATATGTACAAAATGATATCTATTGAGGGTCTTTAATCAATTTTCATAGATCTAATAAAAGTATATCTTAAACATTTTAATAAATAATCATTTCTAATCAAAAATATTATTAATGGATTGGGCGATGAAAATATATATTGTAAATAGTACATAATAATAATAATAATAATAATAATAATAATAATAATAATAATAAATCTGATAAGCTCAGTCGGTAGATACATATGCAACAACATTAATAAATAAGTAACCGCTTAGCCAACGCTCCCTGTTTTTGTGTCAGTCACCAAACACTTTATTATGATATTCAGTTGTGATGCTTATCGGATGTAATAATAAATAAATAAATTATTTTTAATTTTTATTTAGTTAGTTTGATTGAAAAAAAAACAGTTGAAACTAACTAGTATTTTACCAAACCACTAAATGCAATTCATGCGTTACAATTTACTAATGTTCTGGTGTTACTGTTCATCTTAATTAAATCAACTAGTGGTTGTTACTGGTCTATTTGGTTATTTGTTTTTAATAATTTTATATATTTTAATATTTTTATAAACCCGTTGACTATGAAATTTTAATATATTTATGATTTATTATTATTTTCTCTTAATATACCCAAGTCTAAATATGCATTTTTTTAAAAGTAAACATTTTAGTTTCTAACATTTATATACAAAATAATTTAATTAAAACCGGTAACAATGTGTGTATATATATATATATATATATTGGCAATGCATTTTTCATAACATATTAATTTAATTTAATTTAATTTGATTTATATCACTGCTCTAAATCAATTGTCCAAAATATTTCAATTTATGTTTACACTTTCTTGATTTATTTAATTTACTTTTCCATTTAATTATCTTGGACTTAAAATTGAAAGGATTTAATTAAGTTAAAGAAATTAAAAGTACTTATGCATAAATCTTGATTATATCCTCTTTGAACAATATATATATATTTTTTTTAACTATGTAATATCTGAATATTTCTCCAAAAAAAAAAAAAAAAAAAAAAAAAAAATATACATGAAAAACAAGTATCTTAGATCAAGCTTATTTTTTTGACATATATTAATTTCGAATGACATAATCAGATCGATCAATTATAGCATCAATATTATTTAACTTTGACCGACTTTAATTTAATGCGAAACATCCAAAATCGAAAGCATACGATGTGCACCGTATTCGATTATATTTGCGATAAAATTGCACATAAATTAAAAAATAAAAAAATTACACGATTTGTCCCCTCGAGATTACTTTATTTTTCTTTTTTGTATCGAATCAAAAATTTAAAATAAAATACAATGGCATACATTTATAATGAAATCCTTTTTCTTTTATCTCAAAAAAAAAAAAAAAAAAAGAAAGAAAAAGTCCAACTACATGAAAAAAGTTTATAGCAAAAAGTAATGGCGGATTTAGTTAGTTACTCAGCAATAGCACAAAGCTTAATTTAGACCTAATTCTATATGCAACTTCATCTTAAATTAAATTCGTAGAAACAGCGTTAAAGTTAGTGAAAAATGATTTTCTGCAAATCATTTCACCGAATTGGGGAAGAAGATGACAAGATGTGCAGCTACTCTTTAATGGCGTCCACCCCTTACCACCGCCTATATAAACCCCTCCCTCCTCCATGGACTTCCTCACCGCAGCAGCAGCAGTAACGAGCGACGTCCGGCGAAGAATTCTGTTTAATCCCCTCGATCAATCTTATCGTGAAGCACAGCAATGGCCGACGAATTCAACCCGTGCAATTCGCGGATGAAGGAGGAGGAGGGCGAGACAATGGATCTCACCCTCCGTCTGCGAATGCCGAACGAGGCTGAACCGGCAGAGGAGAAAAAGCCCGACGAGACGTCGGGCACCGCCGCTGATCGGCCGCCGTCACCGCCACCGCCGATGATGTACAATTTCTTCAGTAAAGAGCACGGGCATCCAGCGGCGTCCTCCTCCGGGAACGTAAGAGTTTGCACGTTTGATGCACGTGTGCTGATACATGCAGATTTCCTATTTGTTTGTGTTTATTTTTTTTTATATATTTTTATAATTTGATAAATTTGTACGTTGGGGTGAAAATTAGGGCAATTTCGACCAACAATTCTGGCAACCGCACGGAGGCGCGGAGGCAGTTGGCGGAGGAGTCGCCATCGGGCCGGCGGCCATAATTCCGGTGGTCGCGGTGCCGTTCCCAGAGGGGTTCGTCCCCGTCTACAGGAGCCCCCGCAAGCGGCCGAATCCCGGCGGCGAGCCGCGAGATGAAAATCGGGTCTGCGAGAATTGTGGGACACGCAGAACCCCGTTATGGCGGAAAGGTCCTGAAGGACAGGTAATCAGATCTGCTTCCATTTTCCAATTTAAGGTTTAGTCGCTGGAATTAGGGTTTTGATCGCTGGAATTAGGGTTTCGGATTTGGTTAATTGGTTTCTGGTCAATTTTGTGTACAGTACTTCTGCAACGCATGCGGTCTTCGCACGTTCCGCGCCAACCGGAAGAACTGACGGAGCGGCGGAGAGCGGTGGCGGGTGTACGGATGTCCTCCATCGGGGGCTTCTGCTGGATCATTACTCGCCGCCGGGATTGTTATTATTATTATTATTTTAATTGTAATTGTAATTAAATCAATGGTTTTCGTTATTGATCATTTGTAAATAAAAATTTAAAATTATCCCAATTTGTTGTCTATGATTCAAAACTCAAATTTTAACATATGCAATTTT